TATAAAAATTCATAAACCCTTGTTGTTTGGTTTTGCAATCAAAATATATCTTACAATAATCTTTTGGGTTTTTTTTTCTCATAACCCCCGCCCCCCCCCCCCCCCCCCCCCCTCTCCTCCTCCTCCTCCTCCTCCTCCTCCTCCCTCCTCCCTTTTCCCCCGTCCGCGTTTGAGCGGACGGGCAACGCCGCTAGTACTAAGATAAGTATTTACCTACTTTATGATAAATACAATACCTAAATCTTATATCTTAACACTAATGTAATACGTGCGACAATTTGGGGTGGATGGTGGATATATCTATACTTTTAACGAGGGGTTGCGGATCCCTAGCAACAGCAACTCAGGCACTCATTGTAAATGAAGAAGTCATTACCTGCATCTGCGCATATATAAACAATAGCTAGATCCTAATCCTGTAATCCTAACAATAACCAATAACAACGATGTCACCACTTATCTAGGGAATCACAGGGTCATCTCGTTGAGCCAACAATAATAATCCTTGTTCGATCAATCTATAAGTCTACAAATCACATGGTGTCGTTAAGCATATGGCCACGACGAGCTCCAACGCTTAGATTCTCCCACTTCTAATAATGACCAGAGTACTCAATAATAGACATATGGTATGATCTTTAAGCAGTCTACTTATTACCCCTATTCTATTTGCTACCTATTTAGTTGGATAGGGGCTTTGTGTGCAACGCCCTTATACAAATAATTTACAAATAATAGCATGGAAACTAGCACGATATTATAAGATATCTATCTTTGAATGGGGTCAAGCCTTTTCATCCTTCGCTGGCCTTTTCTTCGTACTTGTCCAGCTGCAGCAGGCCACTAAGATAAATGATAGAACAGGTGCTCCGGCGGGGATATACTAGTCCATACTATTAGCTAAGTCAACTTTTCGTTGGCATGACATTGTATCTTACGAAAACTTGAGCTATTGCTTTGCTGTATGCGCTGATCACGGCAGGAACGTCTGACGCATCGACTACTGATCTAACATCAGTTGCACCGACTGATATAACGACGTTGACAACGTCCGGTGATAAAATAGGGGCAAGATTTGACCTGAGTGCTGCCTCGAAGACGGCCTGTCCCACAGCGAGGAAGATAGCGCAGCTAGTTGATATCACCAAAAGAAGAGTAGAAGCGCCAAGGGGAACAATACTCTGTGGGAGTGATGCTTGCATGCCGAGGTGTGCCTAGAGCGTGTTTGGTATCAGCACACATTTAGTCATGCTGAGGGTAACAGTACTAACCTGGTTAGTTGCCAATGCATACCCGATGCCGCCAAAGATTTGGAATCCGATCCATCTCCCAGCATTGACATTAGGATGTAGAGTACTCAACAAACCTCCACCAATACTAACTGCACACTCAGAAAATAACAGAAAAGGATTCCAATATCCAAGCCGTAGTACGATAGCGGACCCTATAAACGATGCTAACACATGGGAGATGACGGTTGGGAGATAATCAACTCCGCTTTGAGTAGGGGATACTCCAAGGACCGTTTGAAACCAGATAGGTAACCAATATATGACGAGCTGAAATGGTCCATTTACGAAGAACGAGCTGAGGCATATAAGCCAAGCGTTCCGATGGGCAGTGAAGATTCGAGGGGGTATTAGAGCACCATCTTGCAAGCGCAACTGGTAGAAGATGAATAATGCCATGACGACAGCAAATCCGACAAAAAGCCCCACAACAGTCGACGAACTCCAGGCATAATCATTACCGCCCCATTGTACCGCTAAAAGCAACATAGTCAAAGATCCGGCGAAGAGAACGAAGCCAAGGAAATCCAAATTCTTAAGCTTATTAGAAAGTGTTTGCTGTTCGCCTTGGGTGGGCTTGATCCGAACAAGGACGAGGAAGAGAGCAGCTGCAAACCCCCCTATTGGGAGGTTGATGTAAAAGCACCATCTCCACGTAACTTGCTGCGTCAGCGCTCCTCCTAAAGGAGGGCCGACGATGCTAGCCATTGCAAAGGTTGCGCTTAGTATTCCATTCCAGATAGCGCGCTTGTGGAGCGGTATGATCGTAGTCAGGATAGCGAATCCTCCGGCAAAGATACCAGATGCCCCTATACCTGCCACTGCCCTCCCGACGATGAGGGCCTTGGACGAGGGCGCGAGTGCGCAGACTAGGCTTCCGATTTCGAAGATGGCGACATATAGCAAGTAGGCGGACTTCTTTGAAAATAGAACGAAAGTCTTCCCCGTTAGGGGTTGTGTGGTACATCTAAGGGGGAGGTCAATATCAAGTTCTTTCAACCGACTAGTAAAGGGGACTATTACAACGCAAGCTGGAACGTGGCACCGTACCAGCCGACATCATTGATTGAATTAAACTCAGAAGTTATGACAGGAATCGCTGTTGCGATCAAGTTGAGATCCTATGAAGCTGTTAGTACGCTTGGATGCTAGGCACAAGATACTATGAGGCTACTCACTAGGCCAACTAGAAAGTTGCACAGACAAATCGCAGTATGTATTAAAACGAGCCGTACCCCTTGTACTTCGTTATCTTGGCTCTTGGAACCTTCCAAAGGGCTTTTCCTGTTCTGATCTGTTATTACCTCGTCCCGCGGAGTCTTCTCTAGCATGCCTCCTATATTTGCGGGCTCCTGCTTGGAGTCCGAAGCGGGGATAGTGGCATTCGCGTTGGCCATGTTATAAGCCTAAGTCAAAGATTTTCGAGATGAAAAGCGTTATACCATGATGTTCGTTATTGATATGCCGACGATGGATGCACAGAATAAGCTCTTGGGTTCAAAAGAAAGGTTTCCATCGGGCGAAGAACAGATGGCTATGCCAAATTTGGAGTAACATTCTTAACGAGGTAGTATTCTACAGCGGAAAGGATGCATGTGTACTGTGAGGCAAGAAGTAGCTCTACATACCTTGAAAAGGGTACTTCACTGCACGGTTAAGCTAACACAGATTTCGGATGTAACCTACGTGTGCGTTTTTATATATGCAATGTGACGAGTAGTTTCTATCACCCTACATGTTCCACGACAGTAATAGGAACATTTGTTAAAGTGACATGCACTCAATATTAGCCAGCTCCTTGAGTAATACGGCGGAAATTGGTAACCGACATGATAAAGGAATTAGACGACCAGGATTCCATGTTAGCATCTTGACAGGCTTGCGGCTCAATTTGAGGCACTTAAGTATTGTGCTGACTATGGCTTGCAGATCGAGATCAGTTGGAAATATCAACTTCCTTCAACCCCGCCAGATGTTGACGCCACACCGGTGCATGAGCACAATTACGCAAGTCACCCCCTCAAGCAGATATGAAGAAAAATGAAATTAGGAAGATGGGATATTGATTGGAACTATCCCTTAGGTACCTACCTTATGTTTACTTTGGAACCATTAGCCGTAACCTTCAGGGTTATCATATTACTGGTGAGATGCGGCTTAGTCCACCCCCGGATTCACATTCCACAACACCTCGATAAGACTTGTAAGGCATTACGTTACAGCGATATAATCAACGGCGCTAAGTTTATTAAGCTTTAGGAACTCTATGAAACATCGGTCCCTACTTAAAGTACATACTACTACTACGTGGTCGATTATCTCCATATGTTATTATGCCTCAAGTGGCTTGCTCTGGTGTGATGTAATGCTGCCGAGAACTGTCTCGCATTATTGCAGTAGATGACCTAATGTGTCATAAGGAGATATTGGTAAACGTAGAAGCATTCAGATACTTATGAAGTCCACGAACTATCAAATTTATCCTTCAACCCCCTAAGTTATTTACTTTCTATGATAATACCTACCTAGGCTATACTTAACTTCTTCGTCAGAATGATTGAAATTACTTTGTTCTCGCCGTCGTCATTATGGATTTCGTTGGTAGTATTGTTGGTTTATTATGTGGCTGATTCGCTACTAACACATAGAGATGTGAAGAGAGGCAAACATCCCCTTGTGGGAAGTCCGTTATTTCTCACACCACGATTCATCCTCAATCTCATATTTGCTAGTAGGGCTAGTAAAGTAGTCAATCAAGGTTACCAAAAGGTTAGTCCTCCTGTTTTAAATAACCTATGTAAGTACAGTATCTAATAGCTGCATCATATAGTTCAGGACTCGGGCTTTTCAAGTAGTTCGGGGAGAGGGGAATCTCATTGTCCTGCCAAACTCTTTAGTCGAAGAGCTTGCGACTCTCCCTTCAACAGTGGCAAGCCCCCATGGCGCTTTAGAGCACGACTTATTAGGCTCTTATACAGGGCTAGATGTCATTTTAGAGAGTCGTCTTCACCACTCTATCGTACAGCGTAGACTTACCCCTCGTCTCGGTTTAATCACGCCTCGCCTAGAGAAAGAGCTTATCCCGTTGTTTGAAGAACTATTACCACCTTCCAAGGGAGAATGGATTGAGTTTCAACCTTACCAAGTCTTCTGCCAGTTAGCCGCACGCCTTACTGCGCATGCTATTGTCGGCCCCGCCTTTTGTAACGACCCAGTCTGGCTAGACATCGCTATTAATTACACTGAGAACCGTAAGTCTATTGTGATCTTAGTCCTCTATCGTCTATCATTAACCTTCTGCGCTGCTAGTATTCAAAACAATTGTGGTGCTACGTTTGCTCCCTTCTTGGACACATTCTGTAGTATCTCGGCTACTTCCATCCTATTGGAAATGTCAGGGGTATATTCGATCATCTAAGGTATTGCTAGGCCCAAAGATTAGAGAACTCCTTGGGAGAAGCGAAGATGGCTCCCTCGCTCCGGACTCTAACGAAGACGAATTCAATGTTCTTACGTGGCTTGCCTTCCTAGCAAAGGGATCAGAACGAAAACCTGATAATATCGCACATACTGAAGTACTCCTTTCCCTTGCTTCCATTCACACGACCCTTCTCAGGATGCTGAATGTGCTGTATGACCTTACGGCTCATCCTGAGTTACTCGAAGAGCTGCGAGTGGAGATATACCAAGTAGCTTCTAGTCCGGAAGGTTGGAACAAGCCTTATGATCGACTTTATAAGCTGGATAGTGTACTGCGCGAATCCCAACGGATGTCACCACCATCAACTATTGGGATAAAACGGCTCTTCAAAACACCATACACATTTCAGAACGGGCTGCACATCCCCAAAGGAACATACGTCTGTATGCCAGTCTATGCCATTGAGAATGACCCCGAACATACCCCTAATCCAGATTTGTATGATGGATTGAGAAGCTATCGCGCTTACATGCAGAGCCAATCTACTCCGGGAAACTCCAATAACTCTAAGGAATTCCAGTTTTCATACGCTAACGACCCAAATGTCCTGAATTTCGGGTATGGGAAATATGCTTGTCCCGGAAGATTCTTTGCCAGTTTGATCATCAAGATGGTCCTCGCCAAATTACTTGTTGAATACGACTTCCAGTTCTTACCAGGTACTGGGAGGCCGGCAAATCTAGAGGTCCACGAATTTCTATTCTCGTGGCCTTGGAATAAAATGTTACTAAGGAGGAGGGAAGGTAGTACTTTTTCGTTTTAAGATTACACAGGTTAAGTCTATGTAGCTTAATATATTGCCCATCCTCGTGTGATTGATAATTGACATTGAAACCCGAGAGATTGTTACGTCGATCAGCGTATAGGTGGCAGTTGATTTCGATTGCATTCTTAACAGTCTTTTACTAACTGTGCTACAATCGCTACGGTTGATTTAGTAATATTGGTGATCATTGTAGCTTAAGGTAAAATATCCCGAGATGTCTCTACGCGCCCATACCACCTCTCGCCTATTTCGACGTATCGTGGTGATGAACCAGACGGTATCTGTGCCAACATGCCGTGCAGTGCCTTCAACTTTTCCAATATCGTGTAACCAACTCTCTTTTATTTTATTTCCGCGTGGTTAACGGCAGTGAGAAAATTGGACATCCAGAACGAGACATGTCAGAAAGTATTGCAGAATGAAGACTATTGGTGTGGTAGTGCCTGTATGGACGAATTAAAATCGAGAAGAATATCTTTCTTTCTCCAACTCATGTTGCACAGCATCGCATCCTAATTTGAAAAGTACCTAATCTCGTTGGTGGTTGTTGGTTTTCGTGTTAATAGATATCTGCACGTTGGAACAGATGGGTTGGGTAGCAATTTTCCGAGGGATTTTCATAAAGCTGTTCAGGAACTACTACGGTACATCTTAACATTTTAATCACTAAGATGCTTAGATGAAGATATCGCTTCTGGGAGGTCTATTCGATGAGTACCTAATATACGATTCTCATTGCTAAACTAGAATATACATACGTAATAATACAAGATTCGGAATATGCCAACGATTCTCACCCATGCCCAGCCAGATGTAGTTAATGTTAACCCTTAACCTCGTTCTACGTCAACACCTCTAGTGACATTAATCACCCTATCGGAAGTAAAGGTTTGTGGCTCGTCCTTGTCATTAGCGGCAAGCACTTGTGTATCGTGGTGAGTTTGAGGCCAGTCGTTGCTTCGTTCGTTAAGTTGAAGTAGAGAGTCATCCTTTGGCCCCTGGTGAGCACCGGAATCCAGTGCTGTGTGATTTTTATCCGAAGAAGATCCCGAGCGCCTGCTTCTGAAGGATCTTAGAGAGAAGGCAGATCGTACGCTACGAACGATCGATTCGGGCGCCCTACCACCCGCCACTAAGGGCCCGTAACATGGCAAACAAGCGGCAATGATAGAGCAATTAGGCTCAAGTATCATGAAAACAAACTGGACCGATTGTGTGTCTATGTCTATTAGCAATATTTCTTAGAGTATTAGAATAATTGATATGACTTACACACTGCACTTCGGGACTTATGGACTTGGTTAAGGGACTGCGATACAAGTACCAGGCGAACAATGGCGGCAACACAGCAGCTTCAAAACGTAAGCTAGTGAAAATGAGGGTCCATGGGAAGTAGAATAACATACAAGGCACCAAGCCAGAAAATCAAGCCGACGAAAATCTTTTTCCTAGTAGGCATGTGGAGCCTGTAAATAACTGGCAACGGAAGACAAAGGACAGCAACATCGAGGCCTATGCTTGTTCCGACTTGAGCGAGAGCTAAGGGTGTCGGACTGAATCGTGCGTGGCCCTTCCCGGTCCACGACCCGGATACCGGATCGGTCTCAAGCAGGACCAGCTTGAACAATATTAGTCCTAGACTTGGAAATTCGCAACTAGGTAACTTACGAAGAAGAATAGAATACCCCAACAGCTAACAATTACAATAGCAATCCACACAGCGACTCTGAACCTATCGTTACTACTGAAAACCCTCTTATAAAACAATAGAATAGCGATTTTCACGACCGTTAGAGCGGGTTGAACAAGACACGACGAGATCAAAATGCACTACATTCATAGTCTGTTAGCTATGGAAACGCAGCGATTGTCTTCCAGAGAATACTAACCTTCAATGAGTCCGTCGTGCCAATTGCTGGGTCGATTTTATAATAATCAATGCCTGCAATCGCTCCGAACACCCATGAGTTTATGCTAAGCGAGAGAGCGAAAATCTAGATGCCGTCAGCGCATATCTCAGTTATATCATAGGAACGAAGAAAATACCCAGGAAGCTATAATCCACCAGTCGTCCGCTTGAAGTAGCATCTGAGCCATCTTTCGAGATTTGAATCGAAGGTAAATTGCACCAAGAGATAAGAGCGGGATAATAACAGAGACGATGATGAGCGGTTTGGTAACCAGCGTATGCACTCGTTCCGCCATCTTGTCGACTAGGTAATCCGATCGCTCACATTAGAACTTCTCTCAGATAGCAAGAAGACGCCGTCTTAGCGGCTCTATCAGTTCGTGAGAACCAAATGCTCGTCTTTTGTACTTGTTGAAGCTGTACTAATATCAAGCAAAGGATTCGAAAGCGAGGAAAAGCTACACGGAGCTGAGATTACCAATCTCGAATCTCGAACGGTAAAGATCAACGGGGCTGGTATCGATGTTATGTCTTACGAAAGTGGCCTGCTTCCATGTGTTAAGGCAGGCTGCGTGTTACCTGAAATCGAACCTCCCCCTCTTTAAGTACCTCTGTCGACACAACATGTACCTCTTAGGATCCTGCATAATCCCCAAAGCTACTGTAACCCATGCGATTATTATGAACTTATCGGCAGGCTGTGTAATACGCATTATATTTCACTATAGATGAAATATGTACAAAATTAGAATCTCAATGCCGATCTCAGTATTGGCACCAAGTGGTATGGTACTCGACATCACAGTCCACAAGCCTCAGGCATAAGAGTATCTCATATAATACAAAGACTGCAGTATAAGAGTCTTAGGTTAAATAGCTAAGATGCAAGCGGTTATCGACACCATTGGTAAATTACCTAGCACCAGTATCAAGTTCTTATTTTAGTAATATTAAGACAGAATGGCTGACAAGGTTTTCTTTGGTCTTCAGGGTCTTCAACAATATGTTGTCTCTACTCAAGCCTTCCAATATGCGTCTACCGACGCTCGACAAATACTTACTATCATAGCTACAGCTTCATTCATGCTCCCTATATTGTATCTCCTCCAATTGAAGACGTACAAAGAGAAGATTCCCACGGTAAATCTAACATTTGGGCTTGAGCCACGTTGGTTTGCCAGGATACGTTGGGGGCTGAGGTCAAAGCAAATCCTAGAAGATGCGCATACGAAGGTAAGGCTTCGATGCCAGGCTATACCTAACCCACGATGTCTAAGAAATATTAGTTTCAAGGTGGCGTGTATAGGCTCGTCCGGGGCGATACCAATCTTATTGTCCTTCCGCATAGCTTGATCCCCGAGCTCAATCGATTACCGCCATACATACTCAACTCCCGCGACTACCATTCCTTCTCCGTACTAGGACATATTACTGGGTTGGATACCGTCCGGAAAACGAATCACCACCTTAAAGTAATGCTGGGACAAGTCGGCCCAGCACTTCCACACTTGAATAAGACAATCGGCGAAAGGGTAGCCGCAGCTATTACACGATGCTTTCCACAGCAAACCGACACGTGGACGGCGCTAAGGCCTCTAGACAGGGCCACCAAGTGCGTCACTGAAGGCATTGTTGTAGCAGTATTCGGTCGACCTGTCTGCAATAACCCTAAATTGAACCACGAGTGTTATCAGCTCGCTACAGACGGTAAGTTTACACCCTTTGACTCTACTTGATGGTCACCTTAGCTAATTCTTTACTAGCTTTCACCATTGTAATGATCTTAAGATTCGTCCCTTCGTGTTTACATCCATTCCTGGGTTGGCTTCTCCCCGCAAAATGGCGCTTGAGGCGGAGTTGGAACAAGATAGACGAGATGGTTGTGTCAGAAGTCAAACACCGCCAACAAGGAGGAAGTGCGTCGCCAAAGGATCTCGACTTCCTGTCCTGGATGGCGACAGATGATAAGTCGGTTGAAGTAACTGACCCTCATATGCTAGTCAAGCTTGCAGCAACGATCGCAGTAGGGGGCATCTACAGTATGTCCAACACTGTAGTCGGAGTAATTGACGACCTAGTCGCCCACCCTGAAGTTCTCGAAGAAGTTCGAAATGAAATCCAGGAAAAGCACAACGAGATAAATGGCAAATGGGACTTTGCGGCTATCAATAGCTTACAAAAGCTCGAATCGGTCATCAAGGAGACTACGAGGCTTGCCCCTGGCTCATTACTTGTTTACAGCCGGGTCATGAAGGACGACCATACACTATCTAACGGGGTATCACTCCGAAAGGGCCAAACCATCGCCATGCCCGCTCACGTAAAATCCATGGACCCGGAAGTGTTTCCTAGCCCAGAGACTTACGATGGGCTCCGTCATTACCGCAACCTTGACAGCCAACATACCCGCCCCTTCATTAGCGTTGATGGGAATATCCTTACGTGGGGTGCTGGACGGTCTGCATGCCCAGGCCGGTTCATAGCTAATACGGTCATCAGAATAGCTCTAGTGAAGCTTCTAGATGCTTATGAGTTTAAGTTCGTCGAGGGTAGGTCACTTCAGAAGCTTGTATGTCACGAGTTTGTGTTGTTCAACCCATTTAGTAAAATAATGGTTCGGAAACGGGAACACTCGCTAGGCATTGAATTCGAATAATTAGATTAGATAGGTAGCATTCAAGTTCCTGCGTATATCTTAGATTCATAATAAGTAGTTCAAGAAATGAAGCAGTTCTCATTTTTACCTCTCCTCATTAGCTACCTAGGTACCCACCCGCCTAGGCACATCACCGCTACACGCCCCTATTTTACCCCTATTTTACCCCTATTTTGACCTTGAGAGACATAACTCTCCGTTCTCACTTACAAAAAAATATTAATGGTTACCGGTCAACTAGCAACCAATAGTTGTGGCTCACCTATTCAGACAAATTGCACTTTTAGAGAATTCGAGCGCAATGCATCAATGCCCTGAACAGGATACAAAATCCGAACCATTGCGTTGCATACATGGCCCTAAAGATGGAGATGTCACGTCCTGAGCCTCTTCCCCCGCATCCCCAAAGTTACACTTAATATCACTCTTATCTCATCTTTCTTCATTCGTCAACCCCACGCAACCTCAATGACACAGATATAGATAGTTTACGTGTTACCGCGGCTGTACAACACTACTACATACTGCAATTCTCCCATTATACTCCAACGTACCAACATGCTTATCTTGCCCACCCACACATCACATCATAGTTGAGGCTCATATCTAAGTGCCTTATGATCGACATCAAACAGAAGTAACCCTACCGAATCTTCAAGCACTGCCACTATCCGGGAAAACTCCATATTTGACAGATTTAGAGACATTTCGCGAGCATCCGGTAATCCGGAACCAATCATATTTAAATATGAAGTCTATTTGTTGCGACGGTAGGACCAAGTATTACTACCAGCCCTACTTCTTACCTACACTAAGTACCTATACACTCTAGAGCTTGCCTCTACAAAACCCGGATGCTTACACTTGCACTTCACATTGCTCATCACGCCGCCAGAGTGCTTTAAACCCCAGCATATACCCTGGCGTAGTCCTTAGCCGGTACTACCTTAACAAGCTTTTTACAACGGCAAGCGGCAGTTGTTAGCTTTGAAGATCGCCGCATAGTAATCCTACCAGGCATAACGCAACTCTCGAGCATGAAGAGATGACGAGGTCTTTAACGCATTGTTCCACAGAGCAATAATGGAACTACGTGAGCGCTAAACCCTTGTCATCATTGGACAGACTATCAATTCATCGTAACACAAGTACAACTATACACAAGTCGCATGCGACTCTTACCAACTGCGTATTGGTTCCTGTATGTTGGCGGCAAATGGGAGATCGAATGTGATGTCTTAGCCCTATCCAACCCGGAAGGATCAAGCTCTGCTAATCGTGATAAGTCCAAATTAATTATCACGGCTATTGTTGCTCGCCTGTTGTAGGAATGGCAACCTAGTTGCTTAGATGCTATTCTCAACCGTGCCATGCCTGTTATTACGTGCCACTTCGGTACGGGGTATCTTAGAATAAGCCAATGTATCATAGAGTATTCTACACAAGAATGGTACATCTAGAGGTTCGATCAACAGGGTTATGCTCGGCTTAGAGTCTTTACTCCCCTTTATTGAGTTTGTGAACCATTGTTTTTTCTGTTGGTGAGATATGTACAGGTAGCTAGGTAGACCTAAGTATCGTTGCATAGGAATATGAGAATAAGTAATCTTCGCGGTTCTAGTAGCCCCTTTTACGCTACAATACAAATTTCGTAGAATCTCATACAAACGAGCGTTCTAGTATACAGTTGGATATTACAGACTTTTTCAACCTCACCCTAGTCCTGATCCCTATCATCCGAGCAATAATTATGGATATCTCTTTATACAGCCAGTCTCAATCGCTGCTTGCCCAAGTCGCGGCACAATGTACGGCGGGCAAAGCGCACGGCTTCATGTCATCATCTATTTACGATACGGCTTGGGTATCTATGATACAGAAGCCTGGGGACTCAAAAAGCTGGCTATTTCCAGAGTGCTTCAATTTCGTACTCCAGAATCAAATGTCAGATGGTGCCTGGACGTCTTACGCATCGGAGATAGACGGCATCTTGAATACGGCCGCTGCTCTTTTGGCCGTGATCAAACACCTAAAGGAGTCGCCTGATAATGAAGATCTGATGCTCAGGAGTCAGAAGGCAGAATCCGCGCTTACACGGATGCTCAGAAGCTGGGATGTGGGGGCTACAGATCAAGTTGGGTTCGAGATTCTTGTCGTAAAACATCTCTCTTTGCTTGAAGACGAAGGGATCGTCTTTGATTATCCGGGGTTAGCAAGCCTGAGAGCTATTCATAATGCCAAATTAGCAAAGCTTCCCGTGTCCAGTGGTATGAATTATCCCATCCAGATCTCTAACCCCCTTTTTCAGAAAAAGAGAAATTTAATTTGAATTCGTTCATCGTAAGCTAACATTCGTATAGTACGTGTAGTCAATCCAAGAAGCCGGATTTCCACGTTGATTCTCAAGAGGCGGGGAGATTTTTATGAGACAATCCTTTGAACTGACATATTACAGGTGTACAAAGCACCGTCAACCCTTCATCACTCTCTTGAAGCATTAATTGGACGTATTGATTTTGACAAGACGAAATGTCAAAGGGGCGACAACGGCTCAATGTTCAATTCCCCATCATCAACTGCAGCCTATCTCATGAATTCATCCACTTGGGACACAATGGCTGAATCATATCTCGAAGATGCCCTTATGTATAGCACAGGTAAAAGGGACGGAGCCGTAGCTTCTGCTTGGCCAACAACAGTGTTTGAAGTCTCTTGGGTATGCTTGTTCAGATACAGATATAGATCTTTGAACTGGGCTAATCTGTGTAAGTCAGGTCACCACAATACTTGCTGAAGCTGGAGCCCCTATTGGCGTGGTAGAGTCCTCTGCTATTAGTAAATTTCTTGAGGGAGCTTTGACAGCGCATAACGGGATTGTTGGGTTCGGTAAGATTCGTCTGGCAAATTTATATTAACAATCCGTTCCTAACAATTATTCCACAGCACCTTCAATTCTCCCAGATGCAGATGATACGGCCAAAACGATAATGGCATTGCGTTACCTAGGTAGATCCGCTGATGTTGCACCTCTATTAGAGGCGTTCGACGCAGATGATCATTTCAAAACCTATCAAGGAGAACGAAACCCTAGTTTCAGTGCAAACTGCAATATTCTTACATGTTTGCTGATGCTGGATGACCCAGCGCCTTACGTATCCCAGATAACGAAAGCAACTAAATTTCTATGCAAGCAAGCATTCAGCGGAGACGTGAGAGAGAAGTGGGTAAGTTAATGGAGTAGCTAAACCATCATGATATAAAACTCACTGACGACGATTTTTAGCACACACATGAGCTGTACTGGATGATGCTCCTATCCCAAGCTTTCGTACGAATCTGGCATCACATGAAGATTGAAGCTGGGAGTCTCCGCGATGGTCTCTTTTCCAGAGAACCACAGCTGAGGCAGTATATCCCTATGATATCGCTACATATTCTAGTGAAAACACTTGGTTCTCAGGAGACCAATGGCTCATGGGGTAGCATATGTGAAGTAACGGCTTACGCCGTCTTGACGCTGTCTTCGCTGGCGCAGATCCCCTGGGTTCAGGAGCTTCATGATGACAGAATTATCGCCAGTATCAACAGAGGACTGTCGTTTCTCAAACTTCACAGAACCCAATGGGATAAGGGGCATTATCTGTGGGTTGAAAAAGTGACTTATTCATCCGACATTCTCTCCGAAGCGTATTGCCTGGCAGCTGCTATGGGTCCAGCTACTTTAACCTACCAGTCTAAGATACCTCACGCATTTTCATTACCAGAAAAACTTGCTGCTGGCGTCAAGAAGGCGATGGATATTACTAAGGGGACTCCGCTGCTCGCCCATACCGAACCACAAATCCTCCAAGAAGCAGAGCTGGTAGCCGTTTACGCTCTTTGCTATCTGCAACAAAAGCACGTAGAGATATTTCCGCAGCCAGAAGGTGGAAAAAGAGACCATAAGTACCAGATATTTACACCAGTTATATGGGCTGTCTGCAATGCAACACACGGCAACGCCATTAGCCTGTCAGCGATGTGCGAGATGGTAACATTTTCCACGCTGATCTACCAGGTTGACGAATACATGGAAACCGTGATCGAAAAAGTCTTCAAAAAGCATCTTCCTGTAGTCGCTAGACTCATCGCGCAACTATGTCAAGATATCAGCATCACATCGGATGGTAATTACCCAGATGGAGGAGAAGCGACAAGCTCGTCTTATGGACTGGTGAATGGCGAGAGCGTTGCCCTCGAGGAGGCAAAGTACGTCTTCAGTCGTTTCATCAGATACGTTTTGAAGCACCAGGCGGTTCTTGCTAGTCACAAGAGTGTACAGCAAAGACTTGCTTATGAGCTGGAGATATTCCTCACCGCTCATGTCACTCAGGCGATGGATAATCAGCAGCTTGCTCTTCAACAAGAGACCAATGCGACATCTCCTTCTACGCTTCGCGAATACCTTAGTCCTGGACGGACTTTCTACAGCTGGGTACGAAGTACGTCAGCAAATCACACGTCGTGTCCCTTTTCTTTTGTTTTCTTCAACTGTCTGGTTCCAAAGCTATCGTCCAGAGTCTTCAAAACAGCAAGATCATCTTATCTTGCCGAAGACATGTGCCGTCACCTTGCCAGCCTGTGTCGCATGTATAACGACCACGGTTCGGTAGCGCGGGATAGAGATGAGGATAACTTGAATTCGGTGAACTTTCCCGAGTTCCACCTTGGCGTTAGAAAAGGACCTGACGCGGAGCAAGTTATTAAACAAGAACTGATCGGGATAGCTGAGTACGAAAGGGAAGGGCTTGAGAGAGCAATGAGTGCAGTAGAGAACGACCTAGGCGATAGCAACTTGATGGATGCTTTAAAAGTACTCATTGATGTCACAGACCTCTACGGCCAGATATATGTCCAAAGGGATCTTACGGCCCGAAACAAGTAGCTCTCGATAGTTAATAGGGGTTGAGAAAGGGGCTCCTAGGACCTAAGGTACATAGTCAGAAGGGCTTAATCGCTTAAGGATAATAAATAATAAATATCCTTGTTATAGCTTTCTACTGTTCTTCTGCGTATGCTGTTCTTTCGGAAATAATGAAGGATTGTTCGACCTGGATAACAAGTCACCGTCTTATAAATGAAGCGCGTCACAATACATATGGCGATGTTGAACTTACATCAGCAAACCCCCACACGTTAAGGTACGACATAGGTAACCCCACACTTTTTACAGCTAGGTAGCTCACTTACCTAAGGTACCTAATCTCGACACTCGCCTTAACAAGAGGGCAAGCCCTAATCTCCGCCAAGACTTCCAACCGCCCCACATCCACCCACTACGCTCTCCAACAACGACCTACTCGTCAATTTCACCAAAAAAAAAAAAGAGAAGTTTCTAAACCACACCTCTCCTCCGCACACAGCCAACTTCTTGCGCGAAACGCCAAACCCTCACGACACCCAGTCGACCAACCAACATCTCCGACAAATCCCCAATTTCAATACCGCAAAAATGACTGGCGGAGTCTCCGTTCGCGATGTCGATGTAGGTTCCTCCACCTTTCACAGATCGCTCTGCCCGCCGTGAGCGGAAAGCGGAAGCGGATCGCAATTCCTCCTCCTCCTCCTTCTCGCGCCTCTCCAACAGGCGCAGTAATCAAGAGAAGGACACATGAGATCCAAAACATGAATCAAATTCCAGACGCAACAGGATATGAGAAAACTACAAAAGAAAATCTCACTTCATTGCCGTCGGGAGCAGGCGCGAGGGGGTCGCAAGACTTCTGATGACGGAATATTTGCTGATGGGTTTTGGGTTTCCACACTATAGGCGCAGAAGTTCATCGACGCGTACGCTAGCTTCTTGAAGCGACAGGGCAAGCTGCCCATTCCCGGTATGTCTATTCTTTATCCTCCTCGTTCAATCATAATACTAATACAACCCCCCCAGGTTGGGTCGACACCGTCAAGACCGGTCCCTCGCGCGAGCTTCCCCCCCAGAACATCGACTGGTTCTACGTGCGCGCCGCCAGCGTCGCCCGCCACGTCTACCTACGCAAGACCGTCGGTGTCGGCCGTCTCCGCAAGGTCCACGGCACCGCCAAGAACCGCGGCACCCGCCCCTCCAAGCACGTCGACGGCTCCGGTTCCGTCGACCGCAAGATCCTCCAGGCCCTCGAGAAGATCGGTGTCCTCGAGCAGGATGAGGAGCAGGGTGGCCGACGCATCACCCAGTCCGGCCAGCGAGATCTGGACCGTAAGTTAACCACCACATTCATTCTTGCCGGGGATAAGAAGATGCTGACTGCTTGCTTATAGGAATTGCCCAGACTACTGCTGAGGCCGAGGAGGAAGAGGATGAAGAGTAAATGTTGATACCATGCGGGAATGATTCTACTACTACGGTCTAGGTAGCAAAGGTCTGTGGGCACGGCGTCTGAAAATGGCTGAATGAATTGATTTGGCGAATTTCGCTTTCGCACTTCCCCATGGCACATTATTCGCCTACAATACGCGTGACTGCTATGTTTTTTATTATGTTTCAAGTTGTTGTATAAGAGCAATAGAGCTGGGTAGGCCAAGGAGCATAGAAATGACTGGATGACTGCAATAGCCAGATTCTAATTACAAAATTCCAACATGTCCGGCAAGTGTGAGATCAGCATAGCGTGTCCTCCTATCACCACATCATAGACTCTTTCCTGTCATTCTTCGTCCTTTTTCCTAGATCCTAGAATACATCGAGTTATTTTCTAGACCTAGAACCTTCCCTTCACAGACTGTTCATTTTTCTCATGATTATTTTCTCATAACTAAGCTACAAGCAAGCCACTTTAAAGCATCTCCAAGTTTTGCTCAGATTCCATCAAGTGCTCACAGAAGCTGTAGAGCGGGGGGTCCTAACCCTTACTTCCATGTGTCTGTTCACGCTTCTCTCTAGAAATTCCCTCGGTAATGTTAGAGACAAGATAAATCGGCTCCGGGACAGGGTTGGTAGGGTATATATGAGGCTGAACCGCCTGCCCCTCGCGACGCCATGGCTGCAACAGTTGAGGGCGGGCTCGTGGTTGCGGCTGGTAACGCCACTGCTGAAGCTTGGTTAGTCCAGAGACTGGGCACGGGGTTATCTCCCTCTCTTCTTGCTGTTCCTTCACGAGACTATCCTCGTCGCTAGGACGAGATCGATGAGACAACTGCCTTGGCACGTAGTAGTAATCTTCCTCTTCCCCTTCCCCTTCGCTTTCCGAGTGGACATTAGCATGGCGTCCTAGATCTCTTTGATTCTCTCCTTTCGAAGTATTGCCATTCTCGTGGCCGGCAATCGGCTCAAAGCTACAGAATGAAAAGTCTGCTTCATTAGGTCGAGGAGTGCTGTTATCACTATCCTTTTTTCCGGCACTAACGTTGACCACAGAACGTCGAAGAGTCGGCTCGTTATCGCTGCTTGTGGACGAATACATGACAGTGTCGCTATCATCCGCCACATCGACGAGTACAGCATCATCCGGTACCGCAGAAGACGGCCTTCGATTTCCCGATGGGAGAATGAAAGGCGTCGCAAGCGGTTGCTGCTGGCGCGGGTGACGATCCGTCATAACAGCGTCATACCCAGGGAACTCATATACCGGCGTCTTCTTCTTGTATTCAGCTAATATTTCGAAATGGTTTGGTGGTCGGCGAGATGGTATATCAGAGAATGGATCTTCGAAGAAGCGTGATCTCTGTTCAGGAATAGGCCATTGCATTCTCGGGCGGGCGGGTGTGATGGGAATAGCTCGCTCCATGGCGGCGGCGGGGTTCGTAGCAGGAATAATAATATCAGCGTCGTTGTTAAGGACAGGAGACAATTGTTGTCTCTCCATTGACATCCCTATGAATGACTGGCATGCTCTATCTGCGGGAACGCCACCTATAACCCGAACCACATCTTCCACGACAGCAGACTCTTCACCATCAGATTCCGGGAAAATGTCGCCGAAGGTATCGCATCTTGCGCCGCTTCTCTTGTCCTTTGTTGCAAGAGTAGGGCCAATACCAATCCCGCCCCTAACGGAAAAGTGTATGCCCGTATACTGGAAGATTCTATTGATGAATTTTAGGCATGTGGCACATGGTTGTGAATCGATCATGATCACGGCCGAGCGCGCACTGCCAAGTGTCGCATGCTTCAGCATATGCATATTGGCAAGAAGCCAATCCTTGTCCGCCTCCAGATTCCCGCTTGACTTTCGGGTCATCTCGAGCGCATACCATGCCGCGAGGAGAACTTCAACGTGTCCGGCGTGTGCACGGCCTCGATGTTCGTCTTCTGCGGGTTTATTCCCATTATCACGCTGGTTTCCGGGGAAGTGAAACTTGAGTAGGGCAGCAATGTGGTGGAGAGCGATATAATTCCATTTATTCGTGTCGAGGCATTTCTCATCACGGTCGCCTCCAGGCTTATAACCACTATGAGCGGTCATCAGAACTTCGCTGTTGCCCTTGGCTGTTATAAGACCAATAGTCTTGCTTCTGTCCAGAGGGATGTCGGTTTTTACTCGATAGACCGGAGCATATACGACGATCTGGCTTCCTTGCTTTGCCAGTCTATAATCAGGGAAACCTATGTCAGCCCTTAGGCCTCTCACTACAAAACTTCATCAGTCATCAATTCTCCAAGCAAGCAAGATAGCAACTTTTTTGATTTTTTACTCACTTGATTTAAGAACGCTTCGGCGACCTTGAGAGGTCAGAAGATCGTAGATGGCCTTGCGTGTATTATGAGCATCTTGATGCTCACGTCCTATTTTGGCCGTCTCAAGAAAGAATTCTCGTCTACGCATTGCGAAGCCTTCATCTCTAGTATATGACGAGGCATATAAACCGTCGGACACTAAGTTGACGCCTTTCTGGATAAAGAACTCGACTATGTCAAGATGTCCCATAAGGGCGGCAAGCTTGCTATAGCACGGTTAATTAGTATGCCCTTGCCCGGGAGTATATTATGGCGAAAAAGACCAAACTGGTGATGGGTAAAGAGATCCCGGAGATAAAGACTCACATGGGTGTTTCGCGAAGCCCCCATTCCGTACCAATTTTCGGCTCCGTGATCGATTCGAGGACGCCTTCAGATTGTGAAACCAACTTGATGACCCCTTCAAAATCACCTTGGAGGCAAGCCACGTGGATTGGCTTGAGGCCGAGATCCGCGACCACGAGATAGTTGTTTCCCTCCATGTCACCTAATTATAAGAAAAGGTGATAGTTGGGGGAAGGGGTGACGTCAGATTAGAATAGGTATATGAATCGGGAAGAGGTGGACGTTAAATATTCAGAAGCTAACTAGGGAATTTTGGGTGAAATAGAGAAGGGAAAGGAGTTTCAAGCCTAAATTAAAAGGACTCAATATGAACAGCTTTGAACGAGGCGTGCAGTTTCAAGGCGAGTAATTAAAATTCGGGTTGTTGACGACGGTGTATTGGTTCTAAGACTGAAATACCTTCAACACTAGATAGGAAGCTGTCACACTCCGGTTCACGTAGTAGCACATAAAATAGCAAAGGAGGGCGAAAGGGGTACCTAATGATGATTGCAAAACTGAGGTGAAATGTTAGAAGTGCGAGTTGATCACGAAACGGACGGGCGCGGGCGCGAGGGGAATGGGAGGAAAGGGTAGATGAAGCGGAGATGTATGGATGGCTAAAGGAGATGGCGGCGGGGGGGCATTTATAGGCAACAGTATAAATTCCAGCTGCTACTTATGTAGGTATATACAGGAAAGGGCGTTTATGTAGCTCAACATCATCGTACTTCGGGAGGTCAAGAACATATTGCGGACCTGCTATAACCGCTGGAAACACGTATTGACGTTCCTACCTTAGGTACCCAAGGCACTTAAGGCGCATCGTAGCTGCACGTGTAACCTATAAGCAATGACATCTCGATTATAATCAGCAAATAAATAAATACCAAACAGCTAACGTATGTAATATACCCAGATATGATAGGTTAGCAGTTAGCAGACCCTATAGTATGACCAATATATAAGGTCCGGGTGCCGAGCTCTTTGCTTTTTTTCTCTGATAGAAGATGGTGTAGTAGATAAGAGTACGAGATGTTGATTTGACAAGTCTTATTGTGGCGTGCGGGGGGGGATATGTTTGCATGTAAGAGACGAAAATAAATGTGAGAGGTTGTCATCATGGTTTGCTGTCATCGGAGACTTAGCTTGGGGGTTTATTATAGGTACGGAGGAATGCTTAATAGGGGTCATCTATTAAGGAAACAATTCACGAAATTATACACGTGCAGGACATCACGGAGTAGATATGTCATAAGAAAACTGTGCCTTTCATCAATGTTGTATTAATTTTATTAGCGAACTAGGTAGTTCCATTTCTACAAAAGCTGTACGTCAACATAAAAAGTTCCTATGTGCATTTGTACAGTTGATAGCTCATCCGACTCCGGTTGACTTGAGAAAATCTGGTATGTGAAGGTATGACAGAGCACAGGCATAAGGCCTATAGCGTGAAGAGACTGCCGTTAATGCCCATCTATTACTCTATCCCACTGACTAAAGCCTCCGGACTTCCGGGCCAATCTTAAGCCCATTCCGCAAGCACGGCCATCAGCCCACAGCCCAGTGCGACACACCCTAAGGCGTAGAGCTGAACCTTTAGTCCCGCATTTCGCATGTACGAGTTAAACATGAACTCGTGGGCGAGCAGTTCGACGAGACCGGTGTAAATAAGAATACCGGCACTGATAGAGTCGAAAATACCATTGATAACCAAGCTCTTCGGGCTACCAGGCTGAAGAGTTGATCGCACACCCAGGCCGATGGCAATGGATATCGGCGTACTTATGGCATAGCCAAACGCCAACGCATAAGGCATCCATGCCTTAGAACTGGGCCATTGTGCCGTAGCCAACCGCGATCCAAGACCGAGACCTTCGAATGTCTGATGAAAGACGAGCACGATATATAGAACTGTGAATTCTTCACCGGCAACTGCGAGTGTCAAACCGATGAAGATACTGTGGAATATGACACCGAACTCGAGGATGAAAAGCGCCGTCATTTGCGCGGCGAAAGCAGTATGGTTATCGGTATCGCGGTGTTCACGTTGGTGGCCCAGGTGATCTTCGCCGCCGGGAGGATAGCTAAGATCTGTAGGTAAACCATTGTTGGTTGCGTTCCCAGCATTGTTCTCCTTGTTCGCCGAGCCAGCCTCGAGATCTCGGATTGGCGACGGTGAGACCTGGCTTCCCTTCTTAAGGATATCCAAGGACGGGTCGGCGCCCTTCACGTCGTGATGGTCATGGCCAAAGAAGTCAAAGCGGCTCGCAATAAGTTCGATAGTAAACATGACGAAGACCGTCATTAAACAAATTCCAGCCGCCCAGTCGTAACCGGTAATGGGGCCATCAAGACACGGCGATTTTAAAGCATCGAATGCCGGCGAGAGGAGATGCATGAATGCTGTTCCGATGATGACACCCGAGCCGAAATATTTCGCGATGAAGAAAGCCGCTCCGTTCACCCTCACTTTCGCACCTCGGGCTAAGAAGACGGGTAATACAGCACCTAGTAGCGAACCAACCAAGATAACGAAGATAGAGGATATGCGCAGTCCCATTCGGCCGTCGTATTCGTTACCAGTATCGCAGTCGACCTCGACGGTGAAGCCGGATTCAGGGGCCACATCGGAAGAACCATCCTCCTGCCGTGTACGAAGTACAGCATCCAGAGCTGTATGTAACACCGACATCTTGAAAGATTTTCACGTGGAGATATAGAGATATATGTCTCTGTATCTTAGAAAAGGGCAACGCCTAGTAAGGCTAACGCCAAGATATAGCTCAGGGGGTAAAGATATAAGTGATCTTGATGACCCTCTAGGAGTGAGCCTATCTCTAACTGTTTGTCAGAAAAAGATCAACGAGAGAGGGCAAGGATGGTATATATACCAGCTTGGTATTCGTAAAGTTCTAAGGCTGAGTACTAGGTTAGCGGGATGATGCAGGTGAGAAATTGCTTGTCTGTAGCTGCAAAAACAGGGGAGAGGGGTGAAAATATAATGAGATGGGAGTGTCCAGCAAGGTATAGCAACTCCTTTGAAGCGAATAAAGACCTAAGAACAACAATTGGGTTGTATAGGTATCCAAGGTGAAGAAATTTCTTTGAAATTTCAAAGCACTTAGTGCTTGTTAGGGTCCAAGGCCTAGTGCAGGAGAGGACCTTGATGGCATATACACGCCAACGAGCTTTGAAATATTTAACGTATCCGTTCCAGGGGTTTTACCAGACCGTGAAGCAAGGGAAATAACTAGCAGAACGGCGTGCCGAAATTTTATGAAAAGGAAATGGGCCTTACCTATTGGGAAACACTTCGTATCCTGTCGTTTCAAGCCGGAAGAACCCCAGGACTTGTCAGAATACGGCGTCAGTTCGGTGAATAGATCCGGTCCTCGTTTTTTTTTTTTTCTTCTCGTGCTCCAGGCGCGTGTAAGAAAATACAGACGATGGAATTTAGGGTATCGGAGAAAGGCGACAGCGCTGATGACGATCCGGAATGCGCAATTCTGAATTAACAATATACGCGTCCTATCAGCGCAACATATACGTCTCCTTATTGGTAGATGTTTGTGTTCCGGGATGTTCTAGAAGATCTCGATGATGCTACTCCCAGAAACTGCGCGATCTTATAGAGTATGATCCAAGTAGATGTCGTCGCTTAATTTTCGTAGATTTTGAAGGGAGTATACTATCGCGTACGGCAAACGGGAGGTTATATGGAGAGATCACCTGGGAGATAAGTATTATCCCCGTTCAACGAGCAGATGAGACGCTAATCCGCGTGGGCAAGTGGCCGTTAGGAGCGTGGGGTGATTGGAACGATGAGTGCGACAACTTTCAGGTTTTACCTGAATAGAAATGGAGTGTGAATCACGTCCAGTGTGGATGATCACGAAAATTACGTATGGGTATAACCCTCCTTGTCTATTGATAGATTTGATGGGATAGGATGGAATGACATAACATGCTTCAAATTTATTATGTACGACGTTTATAAGTTCAGCTCCTCTATTTACAAAGTATTTCGCAAACTTAGTTGGGCATATTATGTGGGCAAGCAAGGGCGAGTGTACTAGGCGAGTGACGAGGGATTTAGAAAAAAAAGGCAAACGGCGGGAAATATCATTATCATAGAAAAATGAGAACCTTGATGGTCAACGGCCGAGTTTGGCACCGCACAAGGTTGATATAAATGTCAGAGATCCAACTGGGTTCCTACCTTAGACTGACTTAAAACAGGTACGTACCGTCGGGCGAGTAAGCCATTTTAGGGAAAGAGACCTCTAGATGTGGAGGATACGGAAGTGGGTCTAACGGGTGTTAGTTAAATCCATTGGTCGGTGATGCGCGTGGTGCTCGGTACCTATGGGCCAGCTAAGTACATACAAACATCACCTACCTGTACCTACCTATTTTCGTAGGAAATAAAATGGAAATTCTAGGTATTAGACTATCATGTAGGTAGGTAGTAATAAGCTTTTTTTCTGTATGCACTGACGCAAATATCCTTTTTAGACTTATTACTGTCCATTCGGACTAAAAGCGCCCTACGTATGTAACGTACCACACCATCATAGTAAGTACACACGGGCCGTGATAAACGGTAAATCCAACCTTTGCCCGGAAGGATGTGTAGTATTCTCGTAACATCATACCCAACGTCATCCGACAGGGCTGACAGCCGATATATTAAGTCTTGTATTTCTACCAAAAAAACTCAATACTTAGGTATTTTGCACCAACGCACAGCAGAATCCAGATGAAAAATCTGCTTTGTCCCAACCCCCAAGATCCAGTGTTCTTCGGCGGTATTTCTTCAATGGGTTCCCATACTAAAGACCCTTTATTCATTGTCTGCATTGTACTACGTCGTCCAATTAGGTACAAGTATAATCCGTACAGGTCATGACTACCAAACTGCGCGGCTCGTGATACGTTGGTTGGTACCGCTACTAGGCATTTTAGTGGGTCCCGTTGCATTAGCCTGTCCATCAGGGTTCTCATGCCGAGATCCTACTTCAGCTGGCCATCAAGGTTCTCAGCCTCCAGTACGTACCCCACATCTGAACTTCAACTTTGCGTATCAATGATTTTACCCTTGATTATCAAAACTTACAGCGCGTCATGAACCAACGCCTTATCATAGCTGGAGAAATAAAATGATACGATCTCCTAAACCTTAATATTTTTATCTCATCTCTTCAAGTACTATGGTGCAAAATTTGCTATACATGGCATTTTCTAGTTGATCAAGCTAGCATCCAGTCATGATCAAGAGTCATATCTATCATACCATACACCAATTTCGTTCTCGACTACAAGAAGCGAAGCCAAGGCACAGTAAATCCTAGATAGCTCGTGTTGCACCACAACATGCGGAGAAATTAAGTTAATATAGCTTAGACCAGTAGCCTCTCGAAACAAGCTTCTTCCAAGACGGCCCCCTTCTCGGCACTGGGCCAAGCCGTCAATGTAATAGCTTGTCAATGGTAGCGGAGGGAGCTCAACCCCATGACTACAGTAGGCGGGTAGCTATACTTGCAACAGCATAGCGGTATGCCAAGTTGCGAGATTCTAAAGAGACACCACATGTGGTTCGAGTATCTATGGAGGTATTCCAGTTAGACTGCCCGGTCTCCTGGGTCGCACCACCGCATGCAATAACAAGGGTCTCCGTTACTCAAGAACGCATTAGAGGCCGCCGGGGACGCATCAGGGGTCCAGTAGAATTAGCCTACATACCTAGATAGACATCAAGGTATTTTGACCCCGGGGTCACCGAGAGAGGTATCATGGCCGAAGAATTGACATATAATCCGCATCTCTTCTCGCCCGTCGTTGCAAATCTTCTTCCAACGATGCGACCGTAGTACAGGTCCCTCATACAGTGAGAGTGCCTCAGGAAGGATGCTGGCAATACACGTCGGCCCATGAGATTGGTTGGGGATACTATCAGGGGCGTAATTGCGACAGTGCCACCAATCCATCGTCAAGCAACGATATCGCACATTCGGGTTGGACAGCAATACAGGCACGCCGATTAATCGCCACGAAAGCCATTTTGGAGGGTCTAAGCTTATGCTATTAATATCTTCATGCCGAGAATTGTACTTCGAGTCCTAGTGTGCGGAAAGGCGAGTCAAGTCGTCGTAGGTCAATGCTACTGCCAAGACTAAAAAGTAAAGACTTGACTCGACCCTCCCATAAAAGACCAACCCTGAGATGCTGGTCTAGGCGCGCCTTCAAAACGCCCGAATACTGCTCATCATGATCATCATCATTCTCATTGGTGGCCGGTACTGTCGCATCCACATCCGGATCGTCTAGCCTCCACTCCATCTTAGCCTGGAAGCTTCTTTCCTTCTTATTTAGCTGAGCGACCGATTCCGGTGGTGGCAGAATTTCAGCCGTGTCCAGGGGTAGGGGAGGGCTATCCAACTCCAATTCTAATTTCTCCTGGAAACTCCTCTCGGGCGTGGCGTTGACTGGCGTTGGTACTTCTTCCAATTCTTGGTTAATAGACCAAGCCGCTCTCTTTCTCCAGAGCTCCATACCCACAGCCCAGTCACTTTCATAACTGTAAACATTGAAATCCATCCTCGATGCAAGCGAACAATAGCTACCAGCCATGACTGCATAACTCCAACTAATAGTTCCCATCAAGGGGTTAACCGTCATTGTCGCAGTGAGTGGAGTACCTTTGTGCGTAGGCAGCGTCGCAAATCGCGTTCCAACACTCATACCTCCTGACTTGTTTAGCGTTCCGTAATAGAACTCGGCGCCAGCACTGAACCGGCCGAAAATGCGTTCTCGCTCGCTGTTACCCGTTCCGTTCCCATTGGTAGTCGCTGGTTGCGTTTGTGTATCCAGGTGAGCCACATCACCGCCGAAATTGTACAACGCGCGCGCTCCGAGCAAACCGCCGTCGGTTGATGCGAGACCCTCAACCGCATAGCGACCCTTGTCGTACTGTACCATACCCAGCATAGTACCCCCATTCCGTAGTTTTTGATCTGACACAGCACTCAGCTGGAATTGTAACGTACGCGAAATCCTCCTAACCACCAGGGCCTCCAACATCGATGCTGGGAGGTAAAGTCTCCCATATGCAAGTCCATCTTTGATCAACCCTCCCTCCGGTTGTCCTTCCTCAGCTCGGCGAGGTAGCTCGGCAAGCGGGCGGTAACTTCGCAAAAGATCTGGTAGGGGTATCTTCTCACTCTGGGCAATGGCATGACCGAGAGGCACCGTTGAGTATAAGTATGATACAGAGCCATCAACAATACCCACGGTGCCAAGCTGATACGAAGTAGCGAATTGCGATGTTGCGAGAGAAGATAGGGTTAGACGAAGACCACGAGGCGTCGGAAAGTTCAGAAGGGCATCGGACGTCGCATTGAGCGAAGAATAGCTATTATCCCGGTTCCAGCCTGTTGCAGCATAAAAGACCGACTGGATATAATCCATAAATTCCCGCATCTTCGTGGAGGCCTGCCCATCTAGCCAGTAGTAGGCAAGCTAGAGATCAGCGTCACCGTATGAGCATCGGAGAAAAGACTCGACGTGATGTTGCTAGTATTGGGAAATCGATAACATTTGGCGATTAAAGAACTCTCCCAATAATTTGGTTGTACCTAGGTACCTAGCTACAATTCGTCTTACGCCTTGAGATAAATTTAGGTACAAGTACCAAAGTATATCACCGGCTTTCAACCGACGGGAACCTTTAGACGTCAAATACTTTTAGGAAGGGAAGGACTGGAGAAATTGCTAAGACAGTAACAAAAGTGGGGTCAAATCACTCTTTATAGCTTCTTTCCGGGATAATGAAAGACTTCTCCCCCTAGAACACCAACAGTTCAACACGATCAAATAGCCTTTCACACATCGCAATATGTATATTATTAACTAAGATATTCCTTATTCAGAACCATAGGATTGGATCCAAAACACCAAACTATCAAAAATATCTAGCAATATCTGATTACTAATTGACTTGCGTCTTAATAATAGGTAAAGCTGTGCCTCTTGCGGCGCTTCACGTCCCCGACGGGCAAACCCTCTCCCCGGATCTTCACCTAGCCAAGCCATATATAAAGGAGAGGATTATAACAACTACTAGGTGACAATTGCAAAGCCAAACTATGGAGTTTTCTATACTTGTTGCGGAAATGGTATAATACTTCTGGGACTTCTCGGATAGATCAGATGCTTGACCTTGGGAACAGACGGACAAACCTTTAACATATCCCGCCGCTATCATATTAGCCCGGGATAAGGACACCTTAGTCAATATGAAAAAAGGTGTACGAATGTATGAGATCTCAGTACCAGGGTCCCCAGTATCATCAAAACACTACCTTTTCGGATTATAACATTTCCCACCGGGTTAAGCCAGACATCGTCAATATGACGAGAAAATAGCCATACTGATTTCTGTAATTCCGACGCATACCGTAAGTGAACACCTAAACACCTATAGTTGAAGTAATGAGAGTCTATAGTAGGTCCAGGAGTAGATGGCTTAAATTAAATTTCTATATAAACCAACCCAGAGCTGCTCGAGTTGAATCGGATATTAACAGATCACTTCGCCCTCAAGTTTTAATACCTAACATATTGTCTTCTACTCTAACCAGTACCTTACAATCATCATGGCTGATAAACAAGTCTGGCTCGTGACAGGAGCTTCCCGTGGCCTTGGGCTCGACATCGCCAGAGCTGCCCTAAAAGCTGGACATGCAGTCATCGCAGGCTATCGTAACAAGGCCAAAACTCCCGCCTTCGCAGAAATCGAAGCCCTCGGCGGAACATGGCTCCAACTCGAAATGGCTGGGGACGACGTAGAATCTCAGGTTCAGTCCGCCATTGCGCTTCATGGAAAGATCGACGTCCTAATTAACAACGCTGGATGGATTATGCTCGGAGGCATTGAAGACACGGAGTACGCCAACACCTAGAAATCATTCTCTTAGAGCAAAATACGGCTAATACTACGAGGTAGCTTCGACCATATCGATAGCATATTCAAGACCAACTTCCTGGGTCCTCTACGTACGATTAAGGCTGTTCTACCTTCTATGAGGGCCCGTCGTTCCGGAACCATCGTCAACGTTAGCAGCTCGACAACTTTGGAGATGGCCCCGGGTCTAGGTATTTACGCAGCAACCAAGTTTGCTCTTGGAGGTAAAGCATCCTCTTTCTATCCCCTACCTAGTTTGGCGTTTGTCCCAGGCTGACCACGTAAAGGTATCACCGAGACGCTCCAGGCAGAAGTCGCCGCGTTCAATATTCGTACACTGCTCGTCTTCCCTGGAAGTATGGATACCGGGGCGCGAGATACTTCCGGCGCAGGCGTTCACAGTGAGCAACACCGTTTCTCGGGATTCTCATTTCCGAGGCGATTTCTAACTCGGCCGTTATAGTTCCTTCAAGCGAAGCTTACAAAGGCACTGTTCTCGAGCAGGTAGAGCAGTTCCTTCTTTCGCCCGCATTCCTCGATTCAGCTTCAAAACCTGCCGCTGTCGCGCAGCGAATCGTCGAGGCGGTTGACGGCACGGGAATATTCACCGGGAAGAAATTAGGTCTCATTCTCCCCCTTGGGAAAGATACTGGCTCTAGTCTGGAGAAACGAGCTGTCATGTACCAGAATCTCGTAAAGGACACTAAGGAGGTGTCCGAAAGCGTCTAAGGACATCGTGTTAGGAAAACAGCCTCGAGACATAAATCCAGCTCATCGGCTCTACGCAAACATTCACTATCGAATATCATCACACGAAAAGTAGTTGTCATGTAATAAATCAAGCCAATCGATGTTATTTACGTATGGCTAGTTAAGGTGGTAGTATACACCGTGAAGAGAATAATAGCCAGCATGCTGACTGGGGTATCTTGAAACCCAAGCACATAAACCCGTGCTTAATCCCTAGTTCCAAATGCTCCAAAGCATATCCTCATCAGAGAAGGTTCTTCCCTGGCCCCTAATGGGCGGGTCGACGACCATGACCATGACCACGAGGCTTTACAACCCGTCTGCGCAAGTACCCCATGCCACTCTTTTTCTGGATAGCGATCGGCTTGCTAAAGCCCCTAGCAGCCGCCGCAACGGTCCCGACATGGTCCCAGCTATCGCTGTCCTCGCCCAGACTCCAAGCCATCACGCCACCCAGTTTCATAGGCGCGACAATCTCACGAACCTTCTGGTCAATTAACTCCGGCGAGTCCCACGTCCAGAACAGCTTGCTGTCCGCATCCCAGTACCACATGCCGCCCTCGTTGCTGTCGAGCTGGCCGTTCGCAAGCGCCTTGCCGAAGGAAGCGATTACGTCCGGGGCCTGGCAGACGCCGTATGCGGACTGGCATCCCATGCCGCAGTACTCGGTCGTGGAGCCGCAGGATCCGTATTGAGAACAGCAGGTGCCTTCGGGGCATACCTTGAAGCCCGCGTCAGCGCCGCAGGTGCCGTCGCTAGACGTGGCCATGTTCTGAGGCGGGGACGGGGGATGGACGTGGGCCTTCTCGAAAGTCATGGCCCCTGAGGTACCTGCGTCAGAGCCGTCGCCGTTCTCGGCCGGGACAACGGGACAACCGATTGGCTGGGTGCAGTTCGCGTCAGGTGGCGTCAGGAAGTATTTCGCGTAGTATGCGAAGCCGAGATTGAGCTTGGAGGGCGGTAGGCCTAGGTCCAGGTACATTTTGGTGGCATTGATTGCTCCCTTGACGGATGTGTGGTGCGAAGTTGTGCCGTCGCGACGGTTCATCATGTCGTAAGACATCAGGTTGACCATGTCCACAGCAGCGAAGATCGACGGTGCCTGGGGCCCTGCGTAGGCGATTATATCGCGCTGCATGGAAGGGACGGCGATCGAGAGTTGCTTAGGAGCGATGGCGTTCTTGATCTGTTGTAAGAACATGGGGAACGTCGTGATCTCGCTTGCCTTATCCGAATTAGGAGTCTGTTTGTAATCGGCGCCGTTGCCGCCAGGATACTCCCAGTCGATATCGACGAAGTCGAAGCCGTGGGTCTCTACCATCGCCGCGACGTTCTTGGCGAACATGCTGCGGCTCTCTTCCGACACGGCCCCTTTCGAGAAGCCGGCCGTGTCGCCCCACCCGCCGATCGCGATGCCGACCTGAGTTCCGTCGTCGAACATGGCGCGGACCTTGTCTAGGGGCATGAATGGCTCGTAAGCCCCTGCCATTTCGGTGACGAAGAGAGATGAGTTGGCGAAGGCCATGATGACGTGGGTTATACCCGCCGTTACGTCCCTGCTTGGCAGGATAGCCGTATGGTATCTTGTAATTATGTTAGCTCATTGTGGCATTAGGGGTGAAGGGGAAGCGTACTGGTCGAAGTATACGACATTTCGCAAAGGTACCGTGCTGTTTGTTAGAGTACTATTGGTTGTCGTGCCGTTGGTTAGGGTACCGCTGGCTGGAGTACTGTTGGCTGGGGTGCTGTTGGGAGGAGTGTTAATAGGCGCCGTATCGTCGCATGCAATGGCGAGCCCAGCCATGGCTAGGCCGCCTAGAATCTTGATCATATGCATAATGAAGGTAGTGCAGTTTGATGAAGGTTATACGATAAAGGAGTATATAGTGGTGTTGTCATAATTTGTTGTTGAAGGATGGTTAAGGATGGTTAGGGTCAGCTGAATTAGAAGGAGAGGGTTGGTTTATGTAGTAATGCTGAAACCATTTTCGTATCCTTGTGGTCCTTTTGAAGACTCACTGTCCCTCGCAAGCCCACCTGACTGTCGCTCAAGCTGTGATCCTCAGGGTTCAACAAAGTACGTATTGCAGTGATTCAGTCCCAAACTGCTTGGCAGTTGCCGTGACGAGAATTGGTGATGAAGCAAGGTCGGGGAATGACGTGGGAATATTTTAGAAGACGCGCTGCCACGAGAGTGTTTAGTTTGCTAATTGGCTGGTTGCCTATCGCATTCAAACATACCCTATCATTAATTCACGATCTTTCGAGCTATTGGGAGCTATGAATCCATTCTACGAACAGCTCACCCTATCGCATCCAGGAGTGACGATATGCCATTGACTAACTCTATTGACTTGACACCCCTAAACGTTTTCACTACCAACGTAGGTTAAGTGACATAAGGGGTTGTTATTCAAACTGTGCACCTAGCAAACCAGCATCTGTTAGCAAAGAACCCTTAATAGGGATTATTCTAATCTATTATGCCCAGTCACTAATAGCTCGTGCCGCAAAAGTCTCCAAGGTGGTATGAAAACGTAGCTGCCCAGTTGCTTAAGTTCCAATAATCAATAACAACCTAATATAATAGATTTACAAGTATTTTATGTTAAGTTGTATTATGCTAGAGAAGTCCAAGTCCAAGTCCAAGTGATAGACACAACATAGCAAAAAAATCTCTAATAAGACCAACTGCATAAATCGGCAGATCATGCAATAATTTGTTAACTATCATGTAAAGCTGTAATATTAGGTTTTATTCTGAACTGCGCTTACAGACTTTGTGAATGCTGATGATTTGGGTAGCATCAACGATATATGCTAATAACTTCACCCGAAGACTACCAACGGATGGCAAGTTACACGTTTATGTTTAGTAACACTTTTGTTAAAATCCCGAAACCAAGTCCCAGGCCACCCATATACTCAACCTATGAAGTCCATTATTATGTCACTGAGATGGTCCAGCCAACTTATATGATTGTATGATGGTGTTCTTATAAGAGGCGTTTGCACTGTCCCGAAAATTTACTGAGATCTAGCAAAGCCTCAACATGCCACCTAGTTCCTATGAATAAACTTAGGGAATTAAGGAAATTTGGGACACTTATTGGGACACTTACCTCTTGAGGGGTCATTGCTGTCTTTATTCGTAGCTCTATGTGACATACTAATCGATATACGTAGTCAAGTCATAGGGCTTGTAGTTGATATAAAATAGAAGATTATGTAAACACAAGCGTCTCTTAAAGATGACCATCGTGTAGCGCAAGTAAACAAAGAGTTGAGTTGGGACATTGACAAGAGGTAATCTTAGGCAAGGCTGCAACGGGCCGAAATATATTGGTAATAAATGTTATAATTCAAACTTGGCTTAAAAAGGGAGAGAGTACTATGAACTGTCTCGGTAAAATAGAGGCCAAGCGAAGTTACACTTTTAATCCACCAAACATGTCTTCTTTCTCCATTGCGCGGAGTTAGGTAGGTAGGTATATTATGTAGAGATATCGGCTAAGCGCATTCGTATATGCGGTCTAACTTTTGTTTTGTTGGAATATCATGTCCTCGATACCTACCTCACATCCGAGGATTTATGCGCCGCGAACCTTGTAGGTAGTGATCCACAGGAAAAAGGAAAAAGCAGGAGGATACCTACTATGGGATTGTTGTTACCAGATGTTTGTGGCTTAATATGCTGCATAGGTCGTATAGGTCGCATAGGAAACGGGCTAGGTCCGAGACATGCAGGCAGGATCCTTCGTCTCGACGCGCGCATGCAGATGAGATTCCTCGCAGGACTAAACAAGATGTGACGGGATCGAATTTGCCTACTTTTGGAAACTAACATTTGTTTTGATTGGAGGCAATCAATTCTTATCGATAGGACTACTAGAGGGCCCAAGCGCCTGGCGGTCCCTCTTCGCTGCGCTCAGAGGGAACCAAAAACCTGGGACAAACCAAAATTCTGGGACAGCCTTGGCAACAAAATACCTATTTCTCATATAAAATCCAGATTTCAACACCTTATATCTAATTCAATAAAATAGATAAAAATATATTTCCAATACAAGATATATTACAAATATTCCATTCTATATAAAAGTATTTTTTTCGAATTTAAATAAAAATAAAAATAAAGAATGGTTATTTTTTTCCAAAAGAATTTGGTCGAATCCGAGTATCCCACATATACCCCATACACTTTCTAAAAAACACCACACTATAACAGCCATAACTTGGCCAATATTACAGCTATAAACATGCAACTTATATCAGAATTTTTCTTATTTTTCAAATAATTTTTCAACATTAAAAAATTCTCTATAGCTACAAAATTCGTCAAGTTGGGGTTTTTATTAACCTAAAAATGGTTGAAAATGTTAGTGCAGCCCATACATTCTACATACTAAACACTATCTTGTCCCAGAATTTTGGTCTGTCCCAGGTTTTTGGTTCCCTCTGAGCGCAGCGAAGAGGGACCGCCAGGCGCTTGGGCCCTCTAGTACACAGGAAATCTTGATTCTAAGTGGGGCAAAACTGAAACGACAGCAGCTGCATTGGGCTAAATAGAGTAGTTGCTGTGGTGACAACCCATGTAACAATAGTGGAGTTATCTAGCGGGAAACTGGCAAATAATAACTCGCGCTCAATTGTTGATCTGCCTGAATGGGTTTACCTTCATCTTCCCCTCCATATTACTTTTCTTAGACAACGCCTCGGCCGGCCTCTAAAAGCGAGACACATCATCTTATCAACTATCAACTGCGAAATCGCTTGCATCACTTGCATTTGCATTGATCCTTTGCAAAAAAATATTCCCCGGAGGCCACTTGCGCATGCAAAACGCACAACATCGCTTTGGCGTAACTTGATCGCCTGGGATGCGCCGACTGACCTCACCAAGCTTCTAGGTTACCAAACTAGAAAATACTCATTCGTTAACTTGACCAGATCTTCTTGATATCGAACCACAATCTGCGGTAAGGCCAGTGCGTCACCGCTTGCAAGCTTGAAATCTGCTTGACCTCCCTAACAAAACTTGGATACAATTCATGAATACAAACAATTAGGCATCTGGCCATCTGCTACTGGTATCGCATTCAAGATGGACGCGGGCTACCTTTCTCAGCAGGTTAACACCATAATCGGTCAGCTCCATGGCCTCTTCGACGAGATTGGCGTTGCTAGTCATGATCGCGAAACCAGAGAATCGGAGGTGAGCCACACTATATCGATTGCATCGACGAAAAACTAATAGGAGAAACCCAAAGCTCTTCGCAGCGCTCTCCGAGACTTTGAACAATCAGGTGAAACAGGTAACGCTAGAAAAGAAGGAATTAGTCGAAGAGGCGCAAAGACTTATTACTACAATCCGCCAAATGGAAGCATCCCTTGACGGTTCCAGGTCACAACGCAGCTACACTCCCGAGAGTGATGATCTTCGGGTCACTTTTCCGCTCACAAGATGCTTAACGGTGTTAAAAGAGAAGCATATGCAGATAAGCAAGCTTCACCGTGAACGATTCGAGCAAGTTAAGAGTAAGTTAAACTCAATCATCGCAGGAGGAATCTGAACAGGGCATTTCGTTCTAATCTACTTGCAGAGCTCGTACAGGCATTAGAGTCTTACTCTTCTCATCTCGAACCTACATTCATAAATATTACTTTACCACCCACGGGTCCGAATCAGTCTATTCCCCCGAATTTCGATCTTTCCCCTTCATACGTTAATAAGTTAGACGACGAATTTACGCGAGTCTACGAAGAATATACCCGACGTGTAAATACAGTCAAGTCTCTGTCGGAACATATTATCCAACTATGGGCAGAGCTTGGTACGCCTCAAGCTCAAACCGACGGTGCGATTGTAAAGTATTATCGCGATGCCCCTGAGCAGCTCGGCCTGCACGAAGAAGATCTATCTAGACTTCGTAATAAGAGAGACAAGTTGGCGGAGGAGAAGAAAAATCGCGAAAAGCGTCTCAAAGATCTCAAGGTGTCCGTTGCGGCGCTTTGGGAGAAGCTGGGTGTCGATGAAGCGGAACGTAAGGCGTTCCTAAATGGCAACCGCGGCTGCGGCGTCCGACAGATCAACGAATTTGAGGACGAATTAGCTAGGCTGAACGAGCTTAAGCGTCAGAACTTACACTTGTTTGTGGAAGATGCGCGATGCAAACTCCAGGAGCTATGGGATGCGCTGTACTATTCAGAGGATGAGATGCTCGAATTTACGCCGGCTTTCTCTGACGTTTACAGTGACGCGCTACTGGAAGCTCACGAACGCGAGATCACTCGACTTGAGACTTTACGGGAACAGCGAGCACCTACCCTAGCCTTGGTTGAGAAGCATCGTACTCTTGTTCACGATCGAGATGAGCTTGCAGCATCCAGTCAAGATGCATCCCGACTTATGATGCGCGGCCAAAAAGGAGAAAGGCGAGACCCAGGAAAGTTATTGCGCGAGGAGAAGATGCGAAAGAGAATTGCCAAAGAGCTTCCTAAAGTTGCTGCAGAGCTTGCCAAATTACTAGAAGAGTGGGAGGACGAATACGGTCGCCCATTCCTTGTATTCGGGGAGAGATACCTCGATCTTCTAGAACCCGAAGCTCCCAGACAGCTACCAGGCCCAAGATCGAAGACCCCTGCAGGCCCTCCGCCGTCGGCAAACAAGGTGCAGAAATCAGCGCCGCCACCTAGCCGCACCAACAGTAATGCTAGCAAAGCGGGTACTTTTCCGAGATCGAAAACGCCGGTAGTGAATGGTAACGGCAACGGCACAATCAGGAGAGCACCTCCTGGCATGCAGGGACCCAAGGACCCCAAGGGCAGCCCATCCAGGATACCAGCTCGCGCTCCTTTATCTAATCTAAAGCACGGTAACAATTCTCCCGAAAGACCCCGGCCAGAATCGCGGGTCCAAGGCGTATTACGCCCTGGACATCCGCTCTCGCGCGCTCCTCCGCCTAAGATGAGAGACCTAAACTCGCCTCCCGAATTAGAGACCCCAGTAAATCCCTACCGAAACGTGGGGCTTGGTTCAAGCACTCATATCCGAGCTGTTGAGCCGGACGATGTGTATGATGATCGAGCGTACGAGCGAGACTCGTACCAAAGTTATTCAAGATCTCAGTCGCATCAAGATCCGCATATGTCAATACAAAGTGAGCGACTTGCACAGTCATCCTACCCTCAAGCACCTCCTCCGAGACAGATCTCGAATACGTCTACGGTGGTAACTGGATCTGAAAACTGGGAGACGTATGACGATAATTCGGAGCCGGAGGCGGACGCATCTGATGCATACTACGCCAAGGTACGAGCAGCAAGAGGAAAGCGATTCACACCAGAAGACCCATACTCACGACAGCAAGCAAATGTACCGAAGCGATATCGAGGTATCCCGCCCCAAATGCCACCTGGGCACGGTACGATAGATGCCGAAGGCAATCGTATCATTTCGGGCAGCGAGTGGACTGATGAAGATGCCTACTAAGCATTTCACTGCTCTTCCTGCTAAACTATTAACGAGCGATAACGAGCAATTACGAGCTTTGAGAGTTACGCAACCCACCGTTACGATTTATGTGACGCTTCTCACAACCTGTCAGCGATGGCGCTCTTCCGGATTCTTTTACATAATATTCTTGTCACGTTTTGATACTGTTTCTGATTTGCAGACACCGGTTTTTGCTTCTTATGTCTTATTCCGCTTCTTGTATTTGTCTTTAATTGCATTATGATGTCGTTCGCCGCGAGGCCACCTAGGTGAAGTCCTAACATGGCGAACTTGACGTTTGTCAAAGCTGGTCGATAGCACATAGCACCCGAATCGTGGTACTCATGATAGCTTTAACTTGCCTGGTATTACATACTCTCTGGAACATAATCGGAAAGGGGGTGAAAGGCGGAGGGTAAGCAGGCGGCTAAAGGGGGTGAGGAACATTGGAATCGGCGTCGGTTCATAAGGCGTTCAAGATGGGGGGCGAATAGGCATGTTGAGATTCATATTCCGGCTTTTTTCGTCGTAGCTGAAATTAAAAAGCCGGCTTGAAGCTGGTATTTCCTCTTAAACGTGAAACCATTATAATGTGAAAGTAGTTATGTTTATAATTGTTAATGTTTATAATTGCTAAAGTCGAGCCCATCGACGATATACCCATTTACTTGATATGCAGTGGCATCGCATCGCATCGCATCGTAGTACCACCTAACTAGACTAAAACACAGCAAGATTTATTAGGTGCATGTAGTGTACCTACCCCTGATGCAAGACCCCAGATATCGGAAGTCGGGGTTCTTTAGCGTGTTATTTTAGGATACGAAACCTTATCAGATCGTTTTGTTTCAGCCTTCAGCCCTACAGTATCTCCCAACCCTCTCCTTACTTTACTCCATTATCCATTAGCCCCTGCTTCGAAATGGTTTAACTACCTAATCTTTTTATTCTACAACTACCATGTAGGATTCTCTCATTGTTCCGATGTCACTCGTTGCGCAACAACATATTGACAATAGTTTTATATCCTACCTATAAACAACCTGCCTATAAATGAACCCCTTTTCATCGAACCTCCAATCTAGGCGGTCTCCTCCTATCAACGGGCCTCATGAACGGATCAGGGGCCCTTAATCGGAGCCGATTGCCGCCGAATCCATCGGGAAATCACGATGATGCTTCTTATAACGCCGCCTTAAAAGGTGCTTCACTCGCCTTTCAAAAGTCCGCACCGAGACAATTACCTACGACCACTCCTTCTCGAAATGTCGATAACCGAGCTCTTATCGCAGCCACCTCAGCTTCGCGAGATCATTCCCGAGCAGCTAGCCGACAGAACACGGGTAACAACAGCATCCACGGTGCAAACAGTAGTCTTGAACATGAGCAACGGACAAGAAGCCAGCCTCCGACACAGCATTTACAGCCACCTTTGAACCGCAACTATGGTAGCTCCTCTTCCTTGGGGTTTGCGAGCAAGCAAACTACGCCAGACCCCCGTTCTCCATCCTTCATAGCTGCAACCTTGGCCGCCAGCAGATGTACTAGTCCCGTCCATCATAATCAGACAGCTCAGTCACATCCGCACGCCCAGCAGCCAGTTAGAAAACAGCCGAAATATAGCTCCGATGCCAACAGTGCTACCAGTTCAGTGACGAGCCTCGACTTGGCAACAGATATGACCTCAATCCCTCCTACGAACGCTCTTATATCGATGTTTGAGAAGAAGAGAGATGATACAGATCCTGTTAAGAAAGACGTAGAGGTGCCGGAGAGTTCGAAGTCGCTTAGGACAGAATCTGTGACTCGACCTCTGACCCCTCCAAGGACCTCGAGCTCTATTCCTAAGAATGACCTATCCCCATCAAAACTAGCGAGCAATATAGCGTGGCAAAGAACACCATCTCCTTCGGTTTCAGTTATGGGGCCAGCCCAGGAGGGACATCGCCTGGTTCAAAATACGGCTATCGAAGCTAAGGCACGCCCTCCTACTCCTCCACCAGCAAGGACGAAGAACAAACCCCATACGCCTTCGCAACCTAGAGCTCTAGAGTCAAGTGGTAAACCACGCGCTTCTACACCACCAATATCTATTGGAAGTGCGGATACCGTTATTCTATCGCCTCGGCCAAAGCGATCTACTTCCCAAAAGATTCTATTAAACGACATACAGGCACAAGATACGGTGCAGCCGGACCAAACATCTAGGCCAAGACCGCAATATCCGGCTCCGTCGCATGAAACTACCGTGCCATCCCTCCGGGAAGATGATCTTCGTCGGAGTTCGATTTCATCTAATGACACCTTTGTCTCTGCGTCATCAATCCCAACACTCCACCCTAGTTCCCCAGATAGAAGCAGATCTCGACCATCAACCCCTAACACGACACGACAACGGCGGCCTCCATCAACACGGGCTATATCTACAGAGATTACTTCCACTGGTCGTCCGCCAGTTCCCCCTCGGCGACAGCCGCACATGAGCTCTCCTAACCTACCCCTAGATTCACTTACCGATGCCATCGTAGCGGGCGCTCTCGCATCGTCCCGCATAACGCCATCAAAGACCCCGCCGTCGAAGCCGCCGTCCCGTAAGCAGACACCGCATATGCGCCAGACGCTGCGCCATCCGCCTAGCAAATCGGACGACGAAGAGGTGACTCGCTCGCGCCACCACAAACCTCTCGGGAAACTAGGCGGCAATAAGCACATTCACCACGAAGGTGAGCGTCGCCGCTGGCGCGAAGAAATTACACTGCGCGAGCGCAAGCGATACGAGGGCGTGTGGGCGAGTAATCGGGGCTTACTACTCGTTTCGCCAGACGCGAGGGACTCCCTATCCGTTCCTACCTCTGCTCCTAACGAAATAGAAAAAGAAAGGGAAAGGGAAAGAGAACTGGAGCAAGCCGTAGCCAATGTAGTGGTGCGCGATATCTGGGCACGCAGCCGGCTACCGCCGGACGAGCTGGCGGAGGTGTGGGACCTAGTGGATAGACGTGGACGTGGATATCTAGACCGCACGGAGTTCGTAGTTGGGATGTGGCTTATTGACCAGAGGCTCCGCGGACGCAAAATCCCGCGCAAGGTCTCGGAAAGTGTTTGGGGAAGCGCTAGGGGTGTGAGGGTTGCGGCGCCAAAGGGGGGTAAGTAAGCTTTTTGCTTACACTTCTACTGGTAGTGGTAATGGTGGTTGATAGTGCTATTACATCGAGCAGTCGTGCTTTTCGGCGAGGCAAGTAAATAAATAGATGGGAACGTGAGAAGGCGGGCAGGTTGTGTATAAACTGGAGATTGGATAAGCGCATGGGATAGGAGAGTATTGATACCCCCGTATAAGTTTAGAATAGAGTTATTGATAGTGGTACTGGTTGCCCATATATTAGTAGTATTTATAATGACCTAACCTACTTATCTTCGTTTGATATAGTGTATATACACCGTTTTAATGCCGAAACATTGGAGTATTAGTTCCACTACGATAAAGTTGAAGAGATAGAGCTTTCTCAACTTAAAGACGTTCATGGGTCGGAAGAGGTTAGAGTGCTTGAATTGAAGTCATGACGTGGGAATTATAGCATAGCCCGTTCTTCGAGGACTTCCCTAATAAGCCTCATTGACTTCATCTAAATCCTCTAAATTCTAAATATCCAATAATTTCTAACAAATTTTTTTCTTTTTCACCACTACATACCAGATAAAAACGATACCTCGACTTCCTCGACTGAGTCTATATAGAACTAGTTAGAGTTTGACTTACCTCAGGGGCAGACTCATTCCTAACCAAACCCTCCTACGCGCCATTCACGACATGTCCAGTACGCCCCAAGGTGGTAGCAGACCAAACGAAGAAATAAAACGACCCTGACGAGGAACAGACGGAAGAACATCGTGAGCAGGCAACAAAAACAACATTAGGAAAAGAGAGCGACCAACCTGCCAAGCAGCCAGATCCGCAACCAAGCCCCAGCAAATCTACTGGTATTAGATCCGATGGTCCCGGGTCCCGGGTATACATATGTGAAGAGAAGGGAGCTGGAGCAGGTCAGCATACGGGATAACTGATAATCATTAGCCTTACGGCTTATTTACCGTTTATTTACTAACATAACCATAGAAGGAGCATTTTAAGTGATCTGTTCTTCAAAGTACCTTATCGACACGTTTCCGACGTTCTAGAAAGATTCGGGAGATACGGGAGATACGGGTAGGAGTTGTTATCTGTAAGGATCCACCTACGTAATGGCGCATTTAATGAAAGGGTAGGACCAAGAGTGATGATTGGACAACAAAGCCACAGCAACGGTTACTAGCCTCGTCACGCGGATCCCTTCAGTGGCTAGTCACCTACACTAAGCTTTCTTTAGGACCTTAGCGTCCGGCAGTTCCTGAAACACCTAGTCCCAGCACAGCTAGCGTCACGTTTAGAGCTTAATTACAGGTAAGCAAGGTAGGGGTGGTAGGGGGAGTCCAGTTTCCAGAAAGGCGGCGCTTGTGCGACAGAAACGTAGGAGACTTTTATTATTATGATTACACGAAAACAACTCCACGGACTTCTTTCTATTTTTACACAAATCAAAGGGTCCTTCTTGCACTTTGACCAACTCACTTCTGACTAACTACTAACTGAATTTCTTTTGTGGCCACTCTCAATTCTTACCTTCTTGCGACTTTACAATTTTCTACACTTACAACCGATGCGCACGCTGATTTGCTAATGTTTGACGATTACTACCGCAATTCATTCTTAAGCACTTGCTTAAACGTTAATTGCATTGAGCAATAACCCTGAATCTTGTTGATCCGTTGAGGGGCATTCCGACGCCCTTTTAACCTTATTGGTCATTGACTTCGGCCGCTTCTACATACTTCTTCTACTAACTCCCTTCTCTTTCGCACTTTCGCATATTCTCTTTTGCATATTCTCTCTGATCTTCAGTTGAGAAACTTCACTTGATACTTGTCCGGTCCCATTCTTAATTAGCCTTGCACCATTTTGTCGGGTTAATATTTCGTGGTGTCCAGCTGCTCAGCAATGAACCGCGTCGACTATCTTGAGCTACTCAGACCTTCATCCACTTGACCCCCTGGCATTACGATTCAGATACGATATTTGGGTATCAACAACACGTTACTCTTATTTGTAATTAGACCGCGGTCGACTCAACTAATCTAATACTTGGAGACGGCAAATCTACCTATCCGGAGTTCGGAGACGGGCCTTATTTTACGCGTTCCCAAGAGCTTACGATGGCCGAGACGGCGACCCAATCCCCTGTCGACCTACCCACGAATATATCAAATCGAGGTGCAACCATTGGTGTTCCTCCCTCATCCGCGATGGCAGCGCCCGCAAATTCCCAAATCAACCGTGTACGAAATCACTTCACTGTACCGATGGCTAGCCCAGTCAATCAGAACGGAAGCTTCGAGTTCGACCGCGTGCTCAAGTCCGGCTACGTCCAGAAGCGAACCCAGAAGACCAAGGTGAGTAGTCACATTATACCATACTTTTATCCTGAAGATCATAGCTGCTGGGGTACTAAACAGCGATGCTTGACAGACTTGGAAATCCGTTTATCTTGTTCTTCGACCCAGCGCCCTCTCGATATACAAAACGGACAAGGAGAGCAAGCTTCGGCACAAGCTCTGGACTTCGGAGCTCTCTGCCGTCACGCTCCTCAAAGACCCCAAGAACAAGCGTCATAACCTTTTCGGTCTATTTTCGCCAGCGAGAAACTACCACTTCGAGGCCCCAAGCGCGAAGGACGCGCAGGAATGGGTAGACCTAATTAAGACGGACGCCAAGATCGAAGAAGAGGAAGAAGAGATGTTCTTAGCAAGTCCCATCATTCGCCGACAAACGTTCGCTCCCGTTGGTATGTTGCAGAATGGGTCAGGAACAACGCGGATCTTGTCTCCAGATCACGAAAGGCCGATCTCTAGTTCACCCGAGCCTATCGATCCGAGATCGTCGCGATCTGCACCATCTACGAGAAGACTTTCGCACAACGATTATTCGGGGCTATCTGGAAACGAACTTGCTTCGCATTCAGATATATCCGACAACGAAGGACGAGTGCACGGCGCATCCATCGAGAGCCTCAGTGCCCGATCACCTGCTACGTCGGGAACGCAAATAGAGACGGGCTCGAACAATCGACCGATTTTAGGAGATAGGAATGCAAGTCAACTTAGCGGCCTTAATCTAGAGAACGATCCGGATCGCATCGTCTGGCAAGGCTGGCTCTGGTTGCTAAACAGCAAACGCGGCGTTAAGCAGTGGAAGAATCGCTGGGCAGTTCTCCGACCCCGGAATCTCATTCTGTACAAAGATGAATCCGAGTACAAAGCCTCCTTCATACTATCCCTATCGGGGATAGTTAATGTCGTGGACATCAATCCGATCAGCAAGACGAAGTCGCACTGCTTTCAGGTTATCACGGACGAAAAGACGTATCGCTACTGCGCCCACGACGAGGAGTCGCTACTGCGTTGTCTGGGCGCCTTCAAGAGCTTGCTCTCCAAGCGGAGAGAGTTGGAAGCGCGGGCAGCTGCCTCGGGGAACGTGGCGCCGCCCAACGCAACAGCAGCATGATGTTATCATGCAAAGCATTGTTTTTCGTGATACCCCCGTAGGAGCAATATGGTGAGATTGCATTTGGAACGTGGTATGGTCAGGTACACAGGCGAGGGGCGTAATACCGTCTCGGTGCTACGAGCTAAGAGCTAAGGGTAAATCTCGCATAGGAGGGAGGTGTTACCCTTAACGAAGTGTTACGATACAGAGGCATTCAGGCGTACGCATGCTCTGCAGCATGATAATGACAAGAGTTGTACAACTTAATACTGCTACTGCTGCCCATAAGCATTGCGATGCAATAATACCGTGTGCTACTATATTAGCTAATATAATATAGACAGTTTTATTTCCAAAGAAGACTTGATAGTGATCCTATGCTAGACTCGACTCGTTATGTGCCAACAAGTAAACTAACCACTTAGCCAGGGAGAGTAATGAGATATGGATGGGAGCTAACATGAAGCGAAACTAAATGCACCGATATAGCCGGCTCCTCCCACATAGCTACGGACCTACCTAAAATAGCCTCGTCGATCCGAAAGGCAGTCGGAGTTAGCCCGGCGGCGTAGTTCCACACATCCCACCGCCCTAGCTTATACTAGACGCAGGCACGATGTGCGAAAATCGCCGCAAGTAAGGATCGTCGAGATCTTTACTCGGGTAGGTAGTTAGTTATTTAGTTAGCTACATACCTAAGTTAGCTAGTTAGCTGTCGCGGGGAGATAAGGAAGGAAGAGGCAAAAGGAAGACAGACTAGCAGTAGCTAAATTTCTGGAATGATTGGTTGGTGATTGTTGATTTGTATGTACGAATTATTGAATACAACGGCCTGGTCTCTTTTCACGATAATATATAATAATAACAATAACTACATAGTACCTTAGCCTAGGTAGTTAAATTATGTAATTTGTAATTTCACATGGGAAAAGCGACGAAGAGAATAGGAATTATGTAGGTAACTTGGGTACCTATGTAAAGCAGTCGGGCAGTTGGAATTAGGTTATCACCCGCCGATGGCAGGTCACCCGGACCCGACGAGACCAGGTACGCAGGTGATTGCGGTATAGTGGCTGGCTAGGATCAGATCAGAGGTTCGGTGAATGAGGATGAGGAGGCACGACATCAACGGCAGGTCGAATTGCTAATGATGCTGATGCTGCGATGCAACCTGCCATCGAACCAAAATTATATTTCAGCTGGTTTGGTTTATTTTATTGTGTACAATACGCAGACATGTGCGTATATTACATTAGGTAGGCTTTTACATAGGTGCATGTTTTTACTCACCTACCCTATTTACATCAATACCTACCTAACCATTAGCTAACTGTGGCTGGCGCTCCCCACAGCACGCCGGCGTTCCATCCCGTCCAGCTCGACCGGCGTCAAGCCACTCCTGCGAGGCATGCAACTTAACCTTACCCCTGGCGAACCTATATGCACTAGACATCTCATCTCCAACGACTACGCAGCACAAACACAATACAACACAACAACACACATCTTTGCCCTCCCCATCCCCTCCCTCCTCTCCCCGATTCCCCACCCCCAAAATCCTATGTAGCTTCGCTATTCGACGGCCGCTCTCCAGTAAACCAGCCAATCAGCCGCCGCCGTCATGCGGTCTGCTATAATGACCACCCTTGTCTTGGTCGTGACGGCGCAACCCTTGTCTTTGGAATTGCCGCTGCTGCTGCTTGGTTGATTACCTAGATCTTGTTTTTTTGGTTTTTTTTCGACCTTTTCCCTTTTTGGGGTTTTTTTCGACCTTTTCCCTTTTCTGGATTTTTGGAGCTCCCCCCTTGCGCTGCTAGCTTATGTATGTACATACATAGTGGGCTGGCTACCTGGTTATTGTGATGTTCTTGGATCCCCTGGTTCGACTTCTCGTTGGATGGGAGAAAGAGAAAGAGAGAGAGATGAGCGTGGCAATGGTAGGTATATGTCGGCTGGCTGGCTGGCTGGCTGGCTGGCTGGCTGGCTGGCTGGCTGGCTGGCTGGCTGATCCCCCTGGCTCCATTGGCGCGTTAGGTATAGTGTAGAGGTATAGTAGAGGTATAGTAGAGGTATAGTAGAGTTAGTTTCTGCAACGAAAGTAGCAGGTATTGCCTATGCTTCTATCTCTGATGAGGGGCACTTGTTCCTGATCTCCAAGTAAGATCCCCTATTGGGTCAGGGTCAGGCACGTCTTCTTTTTTTCTCTTTCCCCCAATGTGCGGCCCCTAGGTCTCGGCCTTGACCGATCTCGTGGCGAGAATGTCCGTCCCTGGCTCGGGGTTGCGTTGGTCATTAATCTGTTGGATCGGGAAGGTCGATGGGTTGCCAATGCAGGTAAGGCAGGGTAAAGGTCAGGTAGCGATGTGGAGAGCTAGCTGCTCGGCTTAAAGGCGCGTCATCGTGGTCGTCGGTCTACCGTTTTATGTGATGCTGTCTTGCATCTAGGAGACCACGTTCTGGTTCTTGTCCTTTTTTCGGCTGGGCCTGCTGGTCGTTATATACGGCGGGAGATCCGCATTCCAGATCGCTTTTTCATCTGGTTTCTGTCGGTAGCTAGCTGTGTCGCCAGACTCGCCCGCTTGAGAGACTGGTGTTGAGAGCGCTTCGACGCCTAATAATATAGTAGTTAGCTGTGCAAAGAGAATCCCGTATCACGGCACACATACGCTCGAATCCCAGTATTCAACCCCGGCTGAGCAGATACTGTCAAGATGAAGCTGCTCTCGCTAATCACGGTCCTAGGAGCCGCCGTGCTTCCGGCGGCCCTTACCTCCGCTCAGAAGCTGCCGCTGTCAACATCGTCGCGATGGATCCTGGACGCAGACGGCCAGCGCGTTAAGTTGCGCTGTGTTAACTGGGCCGGCCACCAGGAAGCCAACTTGCCCGAAGGCTTGAACAAGCAGTCGATCGACTACATCGCCGACTTCATCCAACAACAAGGCTTCAACTGCGTGCGCCTGACGTACTCGATCGACCACGCCCTCAACCCGGACGTCCTCGTCTCGGACTCTTTCGTCAACGCCGCCAGCGCAGCAAACGTCAGCGCCACTGACATGAACAGCATGTACTCCCAGGTCGCTGAGAAGAACCCCTTTGTGAGCGGCGCTACTACACGCGCTGTCTTCGAGGCTGTCATCGCAGCGCTCTGGAAGAGGGGCGTTATGACTATCCTAGACAACCACGTCAGCAAGGCGAGTTGGTGCTGTAAGTAGCCCCTTTCCTACTACATCCCTCTTACCCCTTAACGAGAAACAAAGAGGGAAGATCGGAATCTAACAAGCGCCAGGCAACATCGACGACGGCAACGGCTGGTGGGACGAAGGCTTCGGGTACAACGACTGGAACAGCCGCTTCTTCAAGACGCAAGACTGGCTCAACGGGCTCCAAGCCATCGCCACCTGGTCCGTCTCCCAGCCCGGCGTAATCGGCATGTCCCTCCGCAACGAGGTGCGCGAGTGGCTCCTCCAGGGCACCAACGGCCGCGCCGACTGGTACAACTTCATGACGCAGGGCGCGCAGCGCGTACACGGCGCGAACCCAGACCTCCTGATCATCATCGGCGGGACGCAGAGCGCCACGGATCTGACGCACCTGCGCGTCAACAAGCCGCTCGACTTCAGCGGGTGGCAGGGGAAGCACGTGTGGGAATGGCACGCGTACTCGTTCACCGTCACGTTCGCGCTGGCCAAGGGGAACTGCAGTCTGCTCAAGGAGACGTACGGGCTGTTCGACGGGTTCGTGCTCGTCCAGGACGAGGCGTACACGGCGCCGCTGATCCTCTCCGAGTTCGGGTTCGGGATGACGGGCGGCCCAAACGACGGGCTCTCGGACGACGACAATAGCTACTTCCAGTGCCTGCGCGAGTATGTCACGGGCAACGACGGCGAGTGGGCGCTGTGGGCGGTCCAGGGGTCGTATTATGTGCGGCAGGGGGCTGTGGGCGCGGAGGAGAGCTGGGGGCTGCTCGATGCTGATTGGAAGGGTTTGAGGAATGCGAATGTGACTGAGTTGTTGGCGCCGATGTTCGAGGTTACTCAGGGGCCGTGAGGGGAGTCGTGAGATGTTGGAGGGGGTAGTTCTGGGTATATATTTTTGAACTCATGTTTTTGAGGGTTCTTTTCAGGTATATATATAGTTTGATCGGAAGTGAGATCGAGGAGGAGGATGGTATGTATACTTGACGATACCATTGGGTGGTCGCTCGGGTTGGCGTGTACTGGGCTTGGTTCTGATACCCTTTATTTACATCCTGCCTACAATAGAGCATACATAAGTTGTTACTTACAGTTTCCATCTTGACCATTGTGAGGAGAGGGACAAGAGAAGATTTTGTTGTAGACAGGAATCCCGCGTATATAATATAATATAATAATACGCGTATAACACCGCCCCCTTTCTTATATAAGCCGTCCGTCCGTTATTCTGCTGCCTGGGGTCATATGATGCGGACTGCATGCGCGGTGATCTCGGTACGGAACTACATACATATGTATAAGTTGATGATATAAATACAAAGTGACTTCCGGCAAGGCCCGCTAGAAATATATTTATCACGTTGCTGGCGCTACCTAGGTACCTACATTAGATACCTAGGTATGTACCTTAGGTACGTGATACCTACATACATTAGGTACATATCTAACGAAATAGCAGCACACTCCATCACTCGGAACCGCGTAGCCGCTCTTGCTAGGCAGTTCTGGTCATGCGGTTCCGAGGAGCAACAAACTTCCTGCAGGGTCATTGGGGTCGCTACCCAGTTTCTCCGGGAGGGTTTTTCGCGGTGCTGGGTTCGAGTCTTCGGATTCACTCCGCCGTCTTTTTTGATCTTTTTTTTTTTTTTTTATCTTTTCTCGAAGAATATTTTTGCATGGAAGACAGACAACACTTATTACCTTGGGGGATGTTGCCTATAGGTACCTAGGTTACTTGGGCACTTTTACTTTTCCATTGCAGAGGCATTATTTCTGGTAATTAATATGTAAATACTCATATTTATGAAATATGAAATATATCAGCTACTGTTAACTTGAGTTCGGATAACTACGTCTAGCGTATTAAAGTAAAAGCAACACCATGGTTAGTTACGTAGGGAGAAGTGAATAAATATCGACTTATCCAAGGCTCTTCCTCGTTCCTTTACGAGCTCAAGATAATTACGGTTATGATGTACAAGACGATAGATAGGGGTGTTAGGTAAAGAAATATTTTCGATATGTTGCGTTCTACCTAGTCATGTACCACGATCATTCGAATCTAGAGACTACGAGCTACATATTATCGTAAGGTACCTAACTAAGGTAGCTAATTTTGTTATGGCCAAGTACCCGATCCCTGCCAACCGCATCACAGATCTCGTCGTCGTGCAGCAGATGGCAAGAAAACACGTACCTAGGTAGATACACCCTCCCCGTTGCCAGGCAGCTAGCTAGCTAAGCTGCCTTGCCCCTCCGCAACATACCTAGGTTCATAATATGCACTAAGAAGCCCTTCCATCACCCCTGATCTGCAGCTGCGAGGTCAAAATGGCCATTGGCCGAGTTGTTACGGAAGTAGGGATAGAAAGAATTCCTCGAGGAGTTTTTCGTACGGCTTAGGTTCGATTCTACTGCAGGGCGGCAAGAAGGCCAACTTGTTCTGGTCAAGTGCGTTGGATAGGATCTAGGTTCCGAGCTTTTTTGTTAATTGTATATTTTTTTTTCTTGAATACCTAGAGCTTTTAAATCTTGTAGATATTGTTTTCTTTTTTTCTTTTTTTTTCCTCTTGCTCGATAAGCCCTCAAGCAAATGGAAGCATCATATAGGCACTTCGTATTCTCGAACTGTGCTTTATTTGTCGACTTCAAATGATACGTAGTTTTATTCCATTAAGTGGATTTTATCTACTATTGTATAGTCGTATATAGTTATACCGTACTCTATTTTATATGTATAACTGATCTGCTAAGGTAGACATAAAAAGCATGGGAAAACAGTGACTACCTATATATACTGAGAATATCCTTTGCTTTAGATATTTTATTTGTAGTCCTGGCACTATCTCCTGATTTGGTTATGTTAATCTGAAGAAAGGAAAATTGGAGACGGCTAGTTGTTGGAAGCTGCCGTTATAGATGTAAAGGAGAAAAGTATAGCACACTATAGCGGGTCGGTGATTACCCAGGTGGTTAAAAGCCACCAAAGTTAACTCCCGGCTGAAGGTCTGAAGTACCTAATATATATTATTTTAGATCCTTAAACCAGCACCCACTGTCAAGCACAGCTTGGTCTAATGAACCGAAGCAAGCTTCAAACGCGTGTTGCGGGTTGTTTTTTTCTGCCTTTCTTCAGTTCCAAGGCTACTGTACGCTACTTAGGATCTTCTATCACTAATTACTCCATCGCCCAATATATTCTACCGACTCTAGTCCCGACCAAGGCCGAAGCTAAGAAAGGGGTTGCTTGAAATGCCCCCTCCCCTGGGATGTGACGGTGATATACCCCTTTTCAAGATTCGCTACCGTAGGTTCTTCGTTCTTTCCACTAAGAACGGTGATATAAACCATTCACCTGATCTGCTACTGGAAGTTGAAGTATTCTTCGTCAAAATGTGCTAGATCCGCGTCGTTATTGTTGTCGAAGTACATCATATCGTCAAAGGTACTATCATTGACACCTCCGCCTCCCAAGTCGAACATGTTGTCCGTTCCGCCGTTGGTATTGTCCAGGTTGAACAAGTCATCGAGGTTTGTATCGGTTTTATCTTCTTCCTTTGGTTGCTGTGGGGCTACTGTTATGTTTTTCTGACTGGTTCCTGCAGCGGTCCCTACAGTAGTGTTGCCAGGTTTAGAGGAATCTAGTGGTATGTCATGACCCCCTACCTGCGGAGCGAACGTAGTTAGATCAAATTCAGGCATCGGAGCCGGAGGCGCGCCCGATGCTTCAGTGTTCGATGGCGCAAGGGAAAATTGCATGTCTGTGAAGCCCAGCGCATTGCTACCCCCTGCCGCACTAGTATCGGCACCTACGGCGTTAGCAGGCACCAACATAGCGTTCAGAGTCGCGTCCTGGGCGGCTTGTGCTGCTGGCGTAGTTTGGACCTGTCTACTGGGTTGGGCACTCGGCGCTGCTGGCTGCGGTTTGGTTGTAGCCGCTGGTCCTATAGCAGATGGTTGAGGAGGTTGCAGCCGGGGGATCTGCGGCGGAGGCACCGGGGTTACCTTGATGGGTTGAGCTAGCTTGGGCGAAGGCTTATGTAGCTGCTTTGGAGAGGGCTTCACTTCGTTCCTAATAGGCGGAGTGGCTCTAACTGGTGGCCTGATAGCACTGGCCGAGACCCGTGGCGATGGCTTCTTGTCGCTAGAGGTCAGGTCAACTACGTCAGCAGACATGCCCATGCCCATACCCATGTCGGGGAATGGGGCTGTCGGCTTATGCTCTTGCTTGGGAGCAAAGGCTGGAGCGCTCATGGTGTGTGCCGCTGAGGACGGCAATTCCATCATTGGTGCCGGTGGTGCCACAGGTTGCGGAGCGGGAGCTGGAGCTGGAGCTGGAGCAGGAGCGGGAGCAGGAACGGGAGCTCGGGCTGCATGTAGCTTCTCCAGATCCCGCAGAATAACGGCCTTGGCCCTAATCTATCGATGAAGTTAGTCCGTACACGGCCAGGAGCTACACGAATGATGGGTACATACGATTTCGCTTTCAAGGTCGTCCAAGGCATAATGATAGGCCGTCATGGAATCTGACGTCTTTGCGCGTATCGCGTTGCTCGCGCTAACGTTTCTTGGACCATCCTTGGCATTTGCTTTGAGATGTTTTCCAGTTTGCACCAGCTGCGATGATACTGTGTTAAATAGGTCGCTCGGTTAGGATACACTTTAGTATTAAACAACTTACAACTTCGTTGAACATCTTGTCTAGGATCTCGAGAGGATCATGCTTTGGAGCCGCCATTATGGCCGATGTTCGTTGTAACGTATTCGTATTCACGATGGACGGAGCATATATGGTGGTGGTATATAAGGTAGTTGAGTGCTGCCTAAGTAGAAAATATGTTGAAGTGCTACTGGGTTGATAATTTGATAGCAATTGCTGTCACTAAGATTGTAAACCCAAGTTTTAAGTGAATAACTAAACCGGGATTTGCAACTTGGTTACTTATACCCACATACGTATTCCGTAGAATAAGGTTCCAACCATGGAACTCCGGACACTGTGCCCCACTAGTACCTAATTGGTTCATTCAACTCCGTAGGGCTGCCTTGGCCTGTGGCTGGTGACTAATGAGATGCTTAGTCCGTAAAGTACATGTATCTATCAGATCGGCTACTCTATCTTAGGTTGATATTATTAAGTTATACTATAGGAACAAGTGACAAGTAAAATATGTATATTACAATATTGGCAACGATTATACTGTATGTTTCATCAGAATTAGAGGTACATGTTTGTTGGGTAATTATGACTTAAGGTATCTAGGTACATATACCAAGCTCTGATCTGTAGACAAAGTCGCTATATTACCTATTGTCGCGAGGAAGTATGGTTACCCTTTGGCAATGTCGTTTCTGCATGCATTGATATGGCCCTGTAATTTCTACTTCTATTAAGTTGAACGAGTAGCCGCCTAATAAAACAAGTCATACACTAAGATGATTAGCCCAACCCTAGTTCAGTGGTGAGGCATTCAGGGTGAAACTATAAGCAAGTGAATGATATGGACAGGTTGCATATTTCAAATCTTGATGCATTTTAGTTCCATATGTACAGTTACGTATAACCTACATAGGTACTTAGATACCCAACAATGTGGGGTACCTAAACTAAGCGCACATGCAATTCTAAAGGTTAAAGGTTGGCAGGTCGGATAGGTCAATCACCCCACGTTTGTGCATTATTACCTAAGCCGTCAAGATATGTACCTAGGAAATGTACTTCCTTACCGTAATATGGGGGGTAGCAGTAGCCGCATATATACCGCTTATTAAAGCGTAGCCGTACTTATCCCACTCAATGCAATAAGCGGCTCCCGATTCTTACGTTTAAAGAGTTAAGTGACTTAAATATTTAAGTGGTAATATTACCGCTTACGGTTTAAACGCTCCAAATATTTGGGGCGCTAGGCCAAGCTGAGCCGTACTAGCGCGGCTCTAACCAATGAGCTGCTTTTGCGCCGCTCGCATCTCTGCGCCACTCCCGATTTGAGCGGCTCCCCTATTAAGCGGTACGTACGGGGTATTATTACATAACCCCGGGCGCATAGACCAGGTTATACCCCATAATTACATGTCCACACGC